ATATGGGACACGCACGGCCAGGCACTATAGTGTAGGAAATCTTCAAATGTTTATCAGGTATATGACTAAATTACTTGTCTGTTGCCTTACGAAAAAGTTTATATTTAGTCAGGCCTGAATAATTGAGTCGCAAAACAATTATTGTGTTAAAAGGAAAACAAAATATTTGATGACATTCTAAATTCCCCAATAAGCAATACGATTGGAGAGCGAGTACTCGTTTTTGTTTTTCTTCAAAACTTACTCATCTTATAAATAGCTGGCCCGGATGCGATAATTTTTTCCGTACCACTTAAACGCGTACATCGGCTAATTTTATTCCGCAGAGCGACTTGGTCTGAGACCACTGTCAAAACCGTACGATTTCCTCTCTCTAGTCTCTACAATACATACTCTGTCTCTGTGCGTTGTGGCGTTGTGGCGTGCGCCTGTAATCCAGCTTACAGTGGAAGTTATAAACTGATTCAGCCGAGGACGCAGGTTCGAAACTGAGTCACGTCTTTCGGATGGTGACGTTAAAGGTCGGTCCCCAGACGTAAATAATCATATCTGATTGATACACGTCTGTAAAAACCAAATACACACACACACACGCGTTGTGTGTGAGTGAGGAAGAGGTGTGTGTTCTATAAGTGCTTATGTTGGTGTCACGTGACACTGTCATGTGACTGTATAAATGTGGTCGCCCCCTTGATGCGCATATTTTTTGTACACAAGTGTTTTATATCCCAAATCTATAAGTATCAATCTGTTTATAATAGCCATAAACATAAAAACGAATAATATTACCTTTAAAGCGTTTTAAATCAATAAACCCTGGCTCTCATAATAACTGAATTAGAAAGACATTGGCCCTGTAGCATAAAACTTAATATCATGACATAAATATCAAGTACAAGTCCCAAATGCTTGATTCTGATTGGTTGAAAGCCAAGTAATATTTGATGTCATAATATCACAGTTTTATATTGACAAAGAGGAAGAAAAATTGAAGAAATATAAATAGCTTTTGGTGTCCCTTTTACCTCACCATAACACCCGTTATTAATCTTGACCTACACCAGATACCATGACTGAGGCATGAGTAGGGTTCATGCATTATGCAAAATTCCACAATTATAACGTTTCATACTCGAAAACGTCCGGGTATTTCTCGAATTTTTGCCCTCCTTAGTAATGGCGGACCGCACTCCATGCGCGCACAGAGCTTTGAACGGGCGCGTATGACGAGACGAGTCCGCTCTCTAGTCTTATTAAGTATCTCTATATTAAGTATATATCTCTATGTCTATATATCTCTATGCACAAAACGCAAGTAAAGGCCTGATGTGTCGTCAGGGGCGTCGTTAGACCTTTTTTCAGTGGGGGGGGGGGGGGTGGGGTATAGAGGCCAACGATTACCGACAAAACAAGCAACCAATTACCGACAAAATGAAATGTCCCAATATCTAAAAATTTAACTCTATGAACCCGGGGCCGAAGGCTAAATTGTTATGCGCATTTTCGTCGACGACATTATTTCGTCAACTTAGTAAGCATCATAGCTATATATTTTAATGCAGGCGCGTAGCTAGGATCTTATTTTAGGGAGGGGCGGTATTGAGCAAGCGAATCACTTAAAGAGCGCGCAAAGCGCGCTCCCTAGGTGGGGAGGGGATAGGTCAAAGACGTTTAAATATAAAAGGCCTCCCGCTTAGACGTTTCATTAAATTATTATGAAAAGAAGACGATTTGTTGTACCGTTCTCGACTCTTAATCCTTGTCTGAATTCAGTTTCCCCATCCCACGCGAAGCGCGGAAGTTTAGACGTTTCATTAAATTATTATATAAAGAAGATGATTTGTTGTATACCGTTCTCTACTCTTAACCCTAATTGTCTGAAATCAGTTTCTCCCCCTCTCGCGCGAAGCGCGGGAGCTTCGACGATTCATTAAATTATTAGAAAAAGAAGACGATTCATTGTACCGACTCTAAATCATTGTCTGAATTTTCAAAAATGTTTCTTTGTCCGATAAAAAGTCACAGTTCGAAGGGGGAAAAAAATTGCTGGCCGACCAACATAAAAAAAAATCCCACTGACTTCAACCCCACCCCCCCCCCCCCTTTAGCGATTCCCCTGAATGTAGAGTGGCCTGAGCGGGTAGGCACAGGGCGTGGTTCTTAACTTACAGAGACACTTCGATGATTCCGATGAAGACACCCTTATTTCATGATTGCGTGTGTTGAACTGCCCTGGGCTTTACAACTTTAAACCTCCAGGTTTTTTTTTTGCATATATAGATATTTACATGTTTATTTATATAATAAAAGGAAATAATGAATATTCAAATATCATAGGTAGCAAATAAAGGATGACTAACAGAGGAATGAAAACAAACAGATAGAAGAGGATGATCAAGCATAATGAAGTGCACCAATCTATAAATGTGAATTACTAAGTAGCCTGTTCACACTACAGCTCTTCAATAATAAAGCATTTGTAGCCTTATTTTTAAGCAGTTGAAGAAATCGTTTAATTGTAAGATATTCAGTTTATTTTTTATTAAGTAAGACAAAGTACTAGGTGTTAGAATAACACACATTTAACGCCTTTGGACAAAAATAATACCCCAGGAACGTGAAAAACAAAACTTTTATTGTCACACATGCCTATAATCGGACATATTTAAAAACTGAAATGTGGCACCACCCAAATATAATTCTGAGATCCTCCTTTGTCCTTAATTTGCACCTGGAAATAAATTCTTTGTTCCTCGTCTATGTCATCGCGGCGAAACATTTCAGACTTTTCTTCTTTTAAGGAGCACATGCAGCCTCAGACAAAATATGTGCCAAAGAAGTTTTGTCTTCTTGTGTTCCTGAAAACAAAGTTTTGGGCAATAGTTTGCAAGTCCAGTTTATCCGTACGAGCTTTGGTTGAACTTTCTTTGGGTCATTGTACCGTTTCAAGACAGAGAATGTTCTCTCGCAAGTTGCCGTTGTAACCGGGATGATCAGGTTAATGAGAAGAAGGATGTGCACCTCTGAGAATGATCTCTTATAGATTGGACTGTTTTGAAAATCTCACAGATTGTTTTAATGTATTTGATAGGTTTCATCTCATCGTACGTCACACACGTCTTGGAGGCTTGTTAGCTGCCGAGTTAATGCTACAAAGTCAATATCTCCGACATACACTTCCCTCAACTCATCAGCACGAACAAAATATTGGGGAGGGGGGGGGGGGGGGCTCATGACAAAAATATCGGGGGGCTCCGTGATTTTATCCGAGCCCCACCAGCAACAATTGGAGGGGGCTGATGATATCTGAGCCCCACCAACATTATGGGGGGGGGGGCTCAAAGATATCTGAGCCCCACCAAAATATTTGGGGGTTTCAATGATATCCGAGATCCACCAAATATATTTTTGGGGGTCAATGATATGCGAGATCCGATGTCTGAGCCCCACCCCCCCCCCCCCCTCCTTCCCAAATAAATATTTATAAAATGTTTATATTTGAATGGTAAGTCTGTAGATTATAGGTATACATGAGTTTCATGCCTAGAATATAATGATTGGGTAGGAGGGGGTTAATGATATCCGAGCCCCGCAATAAGTATCAAGTGCGGCTCAATTATATCTAAGCCCAACCAAAAAATGGAGGGGGGGGGGCTCAATGATATCTTTTTGGGGGGGGGCTGTGCCCGGTTCCTAAGCCTATGTACAGGTCAATGAAGTCTACTGTTTGAAACTTAAAGGGATTGGGTAACTTTTTCTCAGGTTCTGAAACAAAATCCTGGAATGATAGTTGGGCTAATTCTGACCGGAAAACGACCCAAATATCGGAGTATGGCTAGCTGCCCCATGGCCTTGTCCTATATACGGATCAGGAAAAAAATACTTTAAAAATTTCAGGGGCCTTTTTTATGACTTTCGGGGGCTCTTTTTTGGCATTTCGGGGGCTAATTCACCCCGAAACCCCAAGTATTTTTTCCCCTGATACGGATAAGTGAGTGCCCTAATGAGTCCACTTTTAACTCGTGTTTTTAGCCTTTTTTTCTTTACTTTTCCTTTCCTTTCTTTTTCTTTCCTTTCCTTTTTTTTTTTGTTCAAAGAAGGGGCGGGTCCATACGCCAATTAGTGACCTGCCAGTGGTATTAAGATATGGTCATCTGACCGTAATTAAATGCCCCTACCCCCTGAGCATCCGCCAATTTGTGCTACGCTCTACCTTATCTTAAATACTCTAGCCTCCTCCACTCACTTTCAACCCCATTTTTAATCACTTTTATTTCCCATTTAACTCCTTCATTAAACCTCGAAACGCCCCCAAATACTTGGGGCTGGGCCTGGATCACGAGTATATACCGTAGAGATCAGTGGTATATACTAGTAGTGAGTTGGTTGATTCAGAAGTACGAAGCCACGTACAAAAGTATAATCGATTACAACAGTTGTGGGGCCGACATCACGAGTATGCCTTCATAGAATAAAGGTTAAAATATTCACTTCTACTTTCAAAAGGACTGGCCCATTTGCTTTAAAAAAAAATTGTAAAGAGTTATTATTATGTAATTTCTAGAAAAAAATGTCAATCACATGATTTACAATGAGTCTAAATACATTGATTTGCCGAGTTGCTTCCTTTTATCAAATATACACGTAAAACAATGTGAGGACAGACTGTGCGGATAGCAAACCGCACGGACGTTCCGTGCGAGCAGAAAACCCACATATTATGTCTGACGGACAAACGAAACTGGTAGGACAAACGGCGCGGTCACAGCGGTCGAGGTTGAATCCCCCACAGGCATTAGACGCAATGCACTGCTGTGTACAAAGTGAATAAGCATGCATGTGCAGTGGCTTATTTCACGAGAATGCCGATGAATTGAATATACCCATGATATTGAAAATATATTGTGAAAGAAAATTGATCTGTGTAGTTGTAGGGTTACAATACTTTTACAACCAGGCATAAACAAAATCATTCACCACAATTCTAGGATATGAATTGCAGGGCAGCCCTTGAGGAAAGACTACACTCCATCAATGACGCACATGTGTGGCAAAGCCAAACAGAAAATCGTCGGATCGTGTAAAATTGATTTTATGGGTGATTTCGGGAAAACTGTTACGTATATTCAAAAACCATGGTAAAGACAAGGGCACAGAGGGAGCAGGGGGTTATGACGCCCAGTCCCAGAACGGCGGAGAAAGTAAAACCTCGCAAGGGAACGAGCCAAAGAAGAAACGATGCCACACAGCACGCACAAAAGTCAACGAGTGGGGCCAATGGAAAGTCTGAACGGTAAATGTCAATGAACGTCAGAAACTCAGAATGCATCACGATATGTTAGAAGAATCGTACTGTTTTTATATGTGTAATTTTGAATGTAGCAAGGTATCCAAAATATAGCCTACTAAAACAGACCCCAAATTTTGTGGTCATCATTACCCTAACCCTAACCCTAACCCTAAGTTAACCCTAACCCTAACCCTAACCCTAACCCTAGAGATAATGATAAACACGAAATTTGGGGTCTAAAATTTGAGGTCTGTTTTAGTAGGCTATATTTTGGATACCTTGCTACACTAGCGCCGAAAATATTTACTGCCCTTACAGAAGCGGATGTAGAGGGGGGGGGGTTGGCAGTAGGGGCGCTGGTCCAAGAATGAGGATCGTCCTCATAATAGGGTGTCTGAACGATTTTTCTATTTTCAATTTGGGATCGTTTTTCACCATTTTTGTTGGATATTGGAATAAAAAATGTAATCAGAATAATACCTTTCAAATTTCAAGACTCACCGATGTTTCTATCAAAAGATACAGCCCCTCAAAAACTGTGCAATATTCATAGCATTTTGGTCAGAATTGACAGAAAAGTGGTTCACGCAGAGTTATAATTTCTGCTCAAAAGCTGCACAGCTAATGCACAGCACGATATGCAAAGCGTGGAGCAAGGGTATTTTCAAACTGTTGTAACAAATGATCCCTTGGGACTAGAGAAAAAATAAGTGCATGGATATATTCTTGACAGCTGGCCCAACTTATTCCTCGGGGGAGCAGTTTGTGAAATTGGTAAATCTCCGAGTTACCATGGAAACGATGTTTAAATCGCTGTTTTGAGCAAAATATTTTTAGAATTCTGGGGGTGGCCCCCTATGGGGAATATGGAGAAAAACCTGCTCTTTCATATGACACCACATTTATTGAGTTTCACCTTCAGGATCATTTGTTATAAAGGTTTGAATTTCAAATTTGTCATAAAATCATTGACCAATTTTGCTTGGTCGCGCAATGCACATAGACCACATAGGGATGCATGCAATCTCTATGGGAAAGATTTTAGCACACAACATCGGGTGCGCGATCAGACACCCTACTCATAAACAAGGATATCCTCATAAACGAGGACAAAATGCGTCCTCAAAAATAAGGGTTGTCTGCATTTTTGAGGACGTTTTTTTTCATTGGCGCTCTGGGGGTTTCATGTTACAGAACGGCCTGCTGGCGATGCCAAAAATGGATTCCCCGGGGGAAAATAACCCTAGTTCACCGTCTACTTTTATGGGTTGTCCGTCTTCCCAAGGATTTATTGCTTATAATGTGAAAGTCTCTGTACAATGTCAATGTAAAATGCATCAAGAAAATCATTGCAGAATCCGTTTTTTGCATCGCCAATGCACCGATCAAAAATATGAAACGTCTGCAAAAATGCAGACGGTCCTTATTTTTGAGGACGCATCGGTCTGTGTTTACGAAGACGATCCTCGTTTATGAAGACGATCCTTATTCTCGGACCAGCGCCCCTACTGGTTGGGGGGGTTGCATCCCCCCCCCCCCCCCAACAAAAATCCGGGGACCATTTTTTTAAATCTTATCTTTTTTTTTAAACTTGTAATTTTATTTTATTCTATTTCTATGTATTTATTTCATTTATTATTATTATTATTATTATTATTATTATTATTATTATTATTATTATTATTATTATTATTATTAATTTTTGGGTGGAGGGGGGGGGCGGGGTTGGGCGAACAAATGTCACAGAGTCCCTTGCCCCCCCCCCCCCCCCATCAGCTTTTTTGAGGACACGGGCCACCGCAGAAGTGACAAGCTAGGCCAGCGTTGCCGATTCTCATCCCCAAAATCCCCACATTAAAAAAATAAATAAAAAAAAAAGGAAAAAAAAAAAGAAAAAAAAAAAAAAAAAAAAGAAAGAAAAAAGAACGCACGCTGGAGAGAAACCCTTTCAAGTGCAAATATTGTGAGAAGATATTCAACTCATCTGGTAACTTAACCAAACACATGATAACTCTGGATATAACTGTGTATTTAACTGTTACTTGATTTAAAAAGACGTTATCATGCACTGCTTTTTATGGTCTCCATTGTGTTAATAGATGCCAGGAAAACATCACTTACGGGGTTCAAATAAACACCCAAAAAAAATCGGTTCGCCGCTTCGCGGCTCGTGGACGATGCTCCGCATCGTCATTATTGGTCAACCCCCCCCCTGAGCAAAAAGCTAGATCCGCCCCTGCCTTATAGCTATCAATAAATAAGGTCTAGATTCTAAATCTTACTTGATAATTAGATCTATTAAAACAATGATGAAATAAATAGTCTAGGTCTAGGGTCTAGATCTAGATCTAGTCTAATAGTTAGATCTAACTTTAGATCTAGATCTATGACAGGAACTTAGAATTAGATGATCTAGATTACTAGAATGAGTGTTTTAAGTTTTTGTAGATCTAGACATTGTATTTAGACCCCCTCCCCCTAGGGCCTATGAATGATAATTGATAATAATTAATATAGACCCAGCACTATGCACGTAGAACTGTCTTTAGCTTACATCTAGCGCATGCGCATTACGTTCATCCCCTCTCGGCCTCATTTTCGTAAGTTGGCGCCTAGCCTAGGCCTAGAGTAGATGGGACCTTCACCCTGATTGGCTATATCTGGCTCCCTAGGCTCTATGTTAATTTGTTTATAATAAAACAAAGATTAAAAGAAAGTATTTTCTTTCACTAAGTCTAGACAACTCGCCCATCTGCCGACTCCAGAAGTTCCATAAAATAGGAGATATCCAGCTCTTAAGTAGGCCCTTCCTTCTACGCCAATCAGTACGTGAGAGCCTTGAAATAATCAATTTCATGTCACGAAATTACGTTCATAATTAGACAGGCCCGAGGAAATAGGCGTGTCATTGCCCGGACAACAATTTTAAAACTTTGCGCAAAAGTAAATTAACTCATCAGCGGCTAGCCTTGAATGTCGAGTGCTGAGAATAAGGTACTATGTGTGAGACTACACTAAATTTGTTTCACGCACGATGTGATCGGAGCTCATACATATTCATATATTATTTTGCAAAAATCTCTATTTTGGGCTCCAACAATGACATCACTGTTCACAGTTTTTCTTCTCATGTTGAGATGGCTGTAGCTATCGGCCTAATATTTTTTCTTTATATTTTCTATCAACTCTCCGTCTAGTTGATCTAACAGTTATAATCCCTTGCCTTTCTTTTTGTTTTCATTGTCTTTACTTTTGTAGGCAAGATATGATGATCTCTAACAGTAAGACACCGAGACATAAGAGCCCAAATACAGACAAATCATCCGTAGAGAAGAGACAAAGAACTCCAGCTATAAAGCAAGCTGACAAGGAAGAGGGTAGTGATGAGGATGATGTTGGTTGCCATTTTAACTTGCAATCCAATGAGGAGGATGCACTCCAGCAAAAGTTGGATATGACAAAGAGAAGTGGTAGCAAAGCAAGGAGACGACACAAAATTCAAGAATTAGAGGAGACTGAATTCACAGTACCAGCTGTCAAAGAAAAGGATGATGAAACAATAGAATTGGAAGAGAATGAGGAGAAAGAAGAGAAGGAGGAGGAGGAAGAGGAGGAGGAGGAGGAGGAGGAGGAAGCAGAGGAGGAGGAGGGGGAGGACAGTGAGAATGAGAAGAATACCTTGGACAAAGATGATTCAAGTTCACAACAGCACCCAAGTGCAACAAAAGGAGGTGAAATAATAGAAACAATGTTTTAGATACAGGGATTTTATTCAACAAGCTTGAACCTACCAAAGGGAATTTGAATTGTATTCAGTGTATTGCTATCTCTACCATGTGCTTAGTAGATTGGCAGTGGAGCATATTGATAGAAAATGTTAATTGCATGGAGAGAAAGAAAAAAAATATTGATTTCATGTTCTAAAGCCCAAGTAGTTGCAGTAGTAGAAGGATGTGCATGAATGTAAACAGTAGTAATAGTAGTAGTTGTAGTAGTAGGTAGTGTAGTAGTGTATTAGTAGTAGTAGTAGTAGTAGTAGTATAAGTATTAGTAGTAGCAGCAGCAGTAGTATTAGTAGTAGCAATAATATTATTGGTTGTAGGGTACAAATAGAAGTGGTTAATTGTCACTAACGATTGCAGAAAAAGAGGAAGGAACCGGCAGGAGAGAAAGGATTTGTTGTAGTATGAATGCAACTCCACACAACATTGCACTGTATATATGTGTTGTAGAGGCATTGTGGTCTAGTGGATATATCACTGAACTATAGATCACAAGGTACAGGGTTCAAATCCCATCTGGGCATTAACATCCATTGACAAGATGTCAATCTACATTTGCCACTCTCCACCCAGGTGTAAATAGGTACTTTGGCAGCTCAGCTATAAACCAAGGGTAATAATGTCTAGGCGCCATCCATGAGGGACACTGTGGAATGGACATGAGCGCTATATCAGTTGCTCTTATTAGTATTATTGTTGTTCGCCTAGAGGCCCTAGAATAACGTGAGACATCATTGCACTTTTCCCTTGATGCCCTTCTCAAAAATGAGAAACTTTGACCACTTTAATGTCAATTTGTTTTCGGCACTGATAGCATCTATTTCCAAGGAGCCAGATCCAGAGAGTGATGATGATGATGATGCACCACCAGATGTATCCTCCTTCTCAGCAAGCAGACAAGAGGCCCTCGACTCCATCTCACAAGCTCTACAACAAACAAAGAGGTAAGGTCAAAGGTCACAATTTCTTCCTTCAAGGGGTAATGGTAATTTTACAACAAAGAGTACCGAAGCTGTGACGTCATCAAAATCTAATTTTAGAATTTCTCAATTTTTTTTTTATATGCTCTGGCTCCTAACCATTAGGAGCCAGAGCATATAACACTGAGTTCCCATAGGACATATATTTATTCAGATGGTCATATCTCAGCCAATACTTATCATATTCAATTGGTTTTTGACATTTGGACATTATTTTTGATGCTCTTTCGGAAAATGAAGAAAAAATTGAGAAATTCTAAAATTTGATTTTTGATGACGTCACACTTCACCACTCTATATGCTCTTTTGAAAAATACTTCGCTGTCAAATTTTAACACTAACCGTAACCCACAGCCTAACCCTAACCTTGACTACTAAAGAGAAGGTTGAGTTCAGGGGAAAGGTGAAAAATAATTTGTGAGTGTTTTCATTGTTATTATGCAAGTGTGGAAGAACATCAGAGCAAAAATGTTCCTTGAAAAGCATGGCTCTTCAAATGCTTTCATATTATAAATATGACATGTAACAGCTTAAAAAATCGGGCCTCATTTTTATGCCACATTTTTGTGTCGCCCCATATACATGCACATCTTTCTGTTTACAGTGCTTGTTACTTGCCAAGACTGGGCCAAATTTCTTGTCATTTTAATGATTCCAGAACGTTGAAGTGCACATCAATACTATATGCTATATGATCAATCTTTTCTGATCGTTTCCACACCATTTCTTTCACAATGCAATCGCGTGACCAGAACTCAATTTTATCTTTAACCCAACACCACATCTCAAATATAACCCTTAACTGTATCTTTCACAAAATGAATGTGCAGAAATTATGAATTGTATTATTGGATAGCAGTGTTCAGCATTTAAAGATGCATAGTACTAGTAGTGGGCTCGAATGGGGAATTCAACACGTTCAGGTGTTTACCCTATACCAGGTTTTGTCAACCACCAGGATTAGCCTGCCGTTTTATGACCAACAGGCCTTACGTGTATGTAATGCTCTGCACTTTCCACTAATCGTCTCATATGGAAAATTTGTTATCTTTGTTTTACTTACCTGAAGACTATCGGAGAGACTAGGGGGTATATATCTTGATGGAACCATGGGTTTGTTGTGTGCAAGACTTGTACACCCATTAAAGGTATTTCCACCAAGTCTGGTGTGAGTGAAAACAGACCTACTACACATGAAAACTGACTATATACCGGTACTATCTTGAAACTTCTTGAAAATAAGATTTGATCTCATCTCACTCAAAGAAACATCTTTGATAATTTTCTGCAAAGTGGTGGTCATTATAATTATGTTGAAAAGAGTAAATTGCCTGTAGATGTTGTGGTACGGGGCATGCACATACAATGTACATACACTTTAAATTGCCGCAGTTATCTACCAGAACTTAATTATTATTTGGATGAAAATATTCAATGCTGTATTTGTTTTCTTATTTATTTGACCATATTGCATTTGACTGATAGATAGTAACATAGCCCAAGATATTCTGCAAAGAAAGGGAACGTTTCAGAATATTTCACTGGTTCAGAGTAATCTCTATTTGACTGGATAATTCTATTTGGTCTTCTTTTCAATTTATGACTTCAGATCAGAGGAGAGAGCCAAGGAGAAGAGAAGGAATCGAGATAAACTCCTGAAGCTACAGAAAAATCGGAAGAAGATTTCTCTGGAGCATTCCCGACTACCAGAAGATTTCTTGTCTGAGGTTGCTAGGATACCAGATGTGTGAGTAGACTTGAAATACATGCTCTTTCTTCATTAAAACGAATAACCTAGAAACCATATATGTAATTGATTTCCTTTATTTTTTATATCAACCAAATTAGAATTACAGCTATGTCCAGCTATTTTTTATGCAAAACTAAAGTATATTGCATTTGCATGTAAGTATTAGAATCATTCACCAAATCATGTTCCCATTATGCAATATTCATATAATGTACATGTTTAAAATTAAAGACCAGTTTTGGAAACGCCCCTGTCTCAAAAAATGAATATGGAAGCTCTTATTACCAGTCATGTGAAAGAATATGTTTTGACTAATATGTGATGATACAAATTTTGCCGGGAAACTGCCTACTAATTGATATATTTGGTAAATTATAATATCTTATTTGGACCTGATGGATGTCACGCACGTGTCGCATAGTCCCATATATATACATCTTTCTGTGTACAGTGCTTGTAACTTTACTAAGACTGAGCCAAATTTTTTTATCATTTTGATGATTCCAGAACCTTGCAGTACACACCAATACTTATATGCTAGATGATCAACCTTTTCTGATCGATTCCAAAACGTTTTCTTTCACAATGCAATCGCATGACCAGAACTGATCTTTACCTTTAACATGAGATCTACCTACAGACAGCTACATGTACATTGTACATGTGTCTCTTAATAGTATTTGTTAAAATGCTCTTATGGTGTTGTTTATATCTTTATTGATATTTCTTTACAAAAAATGGTGATACATATTATATCTTGTAATGCTATGGTCACATTACCCAAAAGTAGCCTGCTCGGCAGCCGAGCGGCGAGTTTTTAACCAATTCTGCCCGGCGGCTGCCCGGCCACCGAGCGGCGGCCGCCCAGACACTGCTCGTTTTTAGGGCATCGCTCGGTCGCCGCTGAAGTTTTAGCGCGGAGTTAAAATTTGGGGGGCGCCTGCTCACTTTTCACTCGCCGCCCAAAATACGCTCGGTGCCTGGGCGGTCGCCGCCTGGGCACCGACCTAATCGCTGGGCGATGCCTACATTCCAGCAGCGACCGAGCAGGCTACTGATCGGTCGGTCGCTGCTCTGATTTGTGACCATAGCTTAACTCGCATTCCAAATAACCATAATGATTAAGCAACAACATTATATGTTTAGTATGAAAAGAGTGAAAATTATGTTGTGTAATTTGTTTTAAAAAAAGCAAATTTCTTCTTTTGACCAGACAACTCACTGAGCCCTCACTTGCTACTCATACTTATCAAAAGACAAGGGAGGATTCGCATCACACAATGTTTGATACTGATAGCAAGATGGACTTTGATGAGGAGGAGCACGACTACATTCCTCTATCCGCGGATGAGCCCCAGACGGTTGAAGGCTTTGAGGTTCATGCAATCTCTCGCAAGAAGAAGGCCCCGCCTCCTAAATCGGACATGGCATTGGACTTCTTGCAGCAGCAGCTGTATGGAGCTAAGATCAAACGGGAATCAGGTACATGCTGAAACTTCACCTTTCTTGAAAACCTTCAATGTGTTTATGAGCTCAAAACATTTGTAGATTTCTTGGCTATTGAATTACAAAAAACGAGTTGAAAACATAAATACAAAAGTTGTGCTCAGTAAGTTTCCTTTTCTGCATTCATCAGTTTATCTTGGTTGTATTTATATGCCTCCCCTTCAAAGTAGCTGGAGGCATTATGTTTTCTGGTTGTCCGTCCGTCTGTACGTCCAGTTGTCATGATCGCGTTATCTCAAAAACTGATTGATGGATTACCGCCAAACTTGGGTCATATATGTATCTTGCAGAGCCAATATCTGATTAGATTTTGGGGTCAAAGGTCACTCATGGGGCTCATTATTGTGCAAAAAGAGCTTGTGAATGCATTCTCATTAAAACTGACGGATGGATTACTATCAAACTCAAGACGTAAGTATCTTGCAGAGCCAATGAACTGATTAGATTTTGGGGTCACGAAATCAAGTTTCAAAGGGTCATACATGTTTATGTAAAATAGCTTGTAATCACGATATTCTGAGAACCTGTTAATGCATTACAATCAAACTTGAATTTTAAAATTGCCTCTGTTTTGGTTTGTTAAATCGCTCTATGGCGGAGGCATCATTTTCGACTGCATGCATCCATCTAGTTTCTGTGTATTACTAAAACTTCTATTTTTTCTTCATATTTCATTTTCCCAGTGATCAAACACAAGGCTAGACTACTAAAACGACAAGGAAAACCCAGTCTTGCTTTCCACAATCCAAAAGGTAAGTATCAATCGCTTCAAAATAAAACGTGACTAGGTACTCTTTCTTCCCCCTTATTTAAAAAAAACAATTCTGACACAAGATGATGTTACTTTACAAAGCATATGAAAAAATGAAAATGAAATGGACTGAACCAGACTAATTTGATAGTAAATATTTCACTTTGAGTATTAGGAAAAAAAAGTTGAAATCATAAGGTTGTTTTTAAAGGTAATACAAAGTTTTGGGAAATTTTGAAAATTGGGTGGATAGTGATTCTTTACAATTTTGATATATTTGGATGCCCCTGTGGATGTAGTATAAGCATTAGAAAATTTAGCCCCTAAAACAAGTCTACTTTCGAGCAAAATTTACCTGTGCTCCCGGTAAATTTTGATAAATTTGAAATAGCGCCTATGGCCGTACAATGGTAGCTGCGACCATGAAAATCTCGGAATATAATAGTTGTGATAAATAATTTTCAAACAGGAATAGTTAATCGGTTGATTTAGTCAAGAAATATTGTTTTATATCTCAATTAATATCTTGACCTTGAGAGGGAGCTATACAACATAAAGTGTATTATTTACAATTTCATAACTTTAGACTCGATTTCAACCGTGACAACGATCACTGAATATTGTAGGATCGTACATGCTTCCAATATGTTCATCTGAACCAAATTCATGGCCCCATACCAAAACTTTGTATTACCTTTAAAACTTCAAAATGTACATGTTGTTCATCCCAGAATCTTATTTACCATGTTGCTGCAGGGTTATTTTTGTTGTCCATTGGATAGAAAAATCTTCATGAAAGTGACAATATTTTGCAAGTGCAAACAATCTCAAAATATTGGATTCCTAACATGTTTACAGAAAACAGTTTCCCTAAAAAATGTAGTTTCTTTGCCAGAATTTATGCCCGAGTCAAAGTGATAAGTTTTAGGTATATTTTCTCGGGAATTGACTATTTTAGGGCCTAGTTTGTCAAACTCTGAAATTGAATGATTTGATAATTAAAATTAAAATTTGATGTTTTCAATATGAAGGCAGTGACTGGTGCATGATATTGGGTTCAGATACTTGGGGGGAGGTGAAAGAGCACAACTCTAGTGGATTAAATGCAGATTAAAAAGGTGAAGGAGCACAACCAGGGCTCAAATTAATCTTTTGTCCACAGGGGCTCTTCCAAAATTTAAAAAAAAAACCAGTGAGCCTTCTCACGGGGGCTCTTTTAGTACTGACGGGGGCTTTTTTTAAATACAAATTTTCTTTAAATTGGTACCCATGATACTCCTAAAGTCTTTCCTATTTCATCATTATCATTAATAGTCGGCATTATTTCCTTCTTACAACTTTACGAGTTATAACATGCAGCTAATGGTCAGATCTCCTCCCTCTGTACAAAATATCTGGTCCAAGCCATACATTCGCCTCCTTGCCATCAGGTTTCCTTTTACTAATATTAGCTTTCGGTTGATTTACTGGTCGAGGTTCATTATTTGCTGGTCTTTTGGAATCACCAGATTTCAGAGGATTCACGATTTTCACAACGAAAAACTTCTCCACGTTTCGGTCCTTGCGCGATCGCCTCTAACTCCGGCAATACAATACTATCCGTAATACCCATAGAGATGTGGAGATGGGAGATATAGCTCAATCTTGCGGTGAAAAAGCATTTATTTCTTTACATTAATGGCAGCCTCTATAGACCGAAAAATTTGAGCGAGAAATCCTGCACGCTATTAAAATATACTTCCATAGTTCCATTTCATTGGTTTAAGGTTTGAAAGTTGAAACTCAATATTGTGTGAAAGTTAACAGAAAAAATAATCTTTATTTTATAATTCCACGGGGGCGATTTTTAATTTTGCAATCGCCCTCGTGAGCACTCTGACGGGGGCGATTGTGTAGCTCACGGTGGGGCGAATCGCCCACCGCCCCGTGTATTTTGAGGGTTGAGCACGACTCTTAGTGGATTAAATGCAGATTAAAAAGGTCATTGAGAAAGGTGTGTGCTTGGGGGGGGGGCAGTTGTAGCATATTCTTTTCAGTCTTTTCTACTCTTGCCTTTTCTCTCTCTTCTCTTACCTCCCCCCCCCCCCCTTCCAATAGTAACAGTGGGATATTTAATCATACCCCTTTTTAAATTGACTTGTTCTGTTTTTGTTTTGTTCATACAGAAAAAAGGAGAAAACCTAAACACCAGGGAAGTATGAGAGCAACAGCTGCAAGCCAGTGAACTATATTCACATCATTTTATTCTTCTGTACATCAACTGAACATGTGTTTGTTTAGAGCCAAAAAAAGGCAATATTTTTTGGTTGGTTTATATACGTTTTAATGCCCCTCTGACTATCAGCAGATATTTATTTTTGGACTTTACAAAAGTGAATTGTTATCTTTAAATTTATTTAAGACACTTTTTAATCATGAACAGGGCTCTGTATGCAACACGTGCTGCAGTCAAATAGAACAGCTGACAACAGTGATCATCAATGGGTATCACACAAATTACTTTCTCAATGGTTTTTTTTTTTTTGTTCAACTACTAGCAGGTTGTTTAAATTACCATGACAAGTTTGCAAGAATATATTTAAAGATAAAGAGTAGAATTATTGTTGACGTGTTTTTTGCAATTGCAATCATGTGCGTTTTGCTAATCAGTATGCTCTTATATTGAGCATTAAAGATAAAGACCAGTTATGGTCATGTGATTGCATTGTGAAAGAAACGTTGTGGAATTGATCAGAAAAGGTTGATCATCTAGCATATAAGTATTGGTGTGTACTGCAAGGTTCTGGAATCATCAAAATTATAAGAAATTTGGCCCAGTCTTGGTAAAGTTACAAGCACCGTACACATAAAGATGTATATGGGACTATGCGACACGTGCATGACACGTGCGCGATATCTATCATGTCAAAATAGATATAATAATTTACCAAATATATCAATTAGTAGGCAGTTTTGGGGCACAATTTGTATCATCACGTCAAAACATATTTCTTTCACATGATTGGAAACAAGAGCTTCCATTTCATTTTTTGAGAGGAGGGCGTTTCCAAAACTGGTCTTTCCCTTTAAGCTTAGAATTTTCTTTGTACATCACAGTGAGAAAAAAAGGTTGGATTCACCAATAGTCATGATTTTATGTAAAGGTAAAGTGAGTTCTGGCCATGCACTTGCATTGTGAAATAAGCAGTGTGGAAACGATCAGAAAAGGTTGATCAGGTAGCATTAAGTATTGGTGTGTACTGCAAGGTTCTGGAGTCATCAAAATGATAAGAAATTTGGTCCAGTCTTGGTAAAGTAACAAGCACTGTACACAGAAAGATGTACGGGTATATGGGACTACACAAACATGTGGCATACAAATTGGGCCTTATTTTTAAGCTGTTACCTGCCATATTTAGAATATGAAGGCATTTGAATAGCAGTGCTTTTCAGAGAACAATTTTTTCTAATGTTCTTCCAACCTTGCATAATAACAATGGAAATGATCACAAATTATTTTTCACTTCTCCCCAGAACTCGACTTTCTCTTTGAAGGCAAGAATGAAATATATTACATTATTCAGATAAGGCAGGATAAATCCCTGTCAGTTCGACTCCCCTTACATCTTGCAATAAATCCATAAATGATTGAACTCCATTGGACTTCTGTACTTGCTGTATATGTATTTATTGGAAACTCATTAAAACGAGCATTATGGTTCCCATGGTCGTAGAAAAACCTGGAAAATCAAGGAAACTGTGAGAGAGGCAATCACAAACATGAAATAATATACACAGATTTCACTGTATGGTAATGATTTGATAAGGTTTATTAGTAGAAATTAAAAGTCACAGATAAAAGCCTAGGTACACATCTTGAATTTCGCAAATAAAAGTGCTACATATAAAACACATGTATCCATACGCTGCTTGGATCCCGCAACCTACATGTATACCAAAATGAAAAGTCATAGAATTTGGTTCTCAAATTTCTGTGAGAACCCACAAGCTTTTCAGGATCAAGGAAATAGTGTATACCTTTTTTTATGAAAGCAATTCTCATACATTATATGTTCGTATTATGATAAATATAATGTACCGGGTAACTTGTAATGAGAACTTCTTCTTAGATCAGGATAGCCGAGGCTGGCAAAATTACAACACTAATCATATTACCAAGGTTCCATTGTATTGGTGATGTTCACTTAATGTGGTTTAAATTTGTGCAGGGTCGAACTACCCAATTGTAATTAATATTCTTATCCAGGTTTAGGTTTTTGCAATAGCAGCACTAAAATTACAACCAAGTTCATGGATTGAAGTACAGTGAACATTTCATAACATTTAGATAAGCAACAACAGTGTGCTCCGGCCATGCAGTAGGTAGAAGCCTAGAAGGACATTGTCAAATACATTGTTGTGGGGGGAATGAACTTATTACAAAGGTTAGATTGCCCATTGAAGCCCATCTGTACTAGTTTACAGGAGGGATTAGTCCACCCTGCAGGGTCACTGACAGGTGGTTATTTCATCAAATCAGCTCTCAACATTTTTTAAAAGAGGATCATGGGGGACGAATGGTCACCAATTAGGCATTGTTTGCTATATAGAGGGCGCAAGTAGCTATAAGTAGTGCAGTGGGGCCTTTAACATCTAACATCAACAGGTTTTAATTTTTTTAATTTTTTTTTTATTTGACAGGTAAAAATTGTTATAGTTATTGATGAAAGAAAAACATGCCACAATGGATGTCACACTTCGTAGTTGTCATTACTCTATTGTTGCAATTAAAAAGGCCTCTAAGATTTTGCTATCTGAAAAATAAATTTGTTCAGTGGATGATACAAGAGATAAGGTGAATTTTTGTTTTATCATGATACATTTTAATGAAACAATGTACACGTATATGCATTAAATCATTGAATATAGATACTTACAAAATGTACATCATTCTGTCTTGTTTGTTCATATGTGTGTGATAAAAGATCAAATAACTAGGTACATACATGTATAATTGTCCACCGAAATGAAGAAGCGTCTTACGTTTACTTTAAGATAATATAAAGGGGTCAATAACGTGTAATTTAAAGGTAATACAAAGCATTGGTAACATTTCAACAGGATTGGATTATGAAATTTAAATTTTCATAACCATTGTGAAACCTAGTGAATAAGCAACTTTGAAAAAACTGCGCTCTAAAACGCTAAGGATTTTGAGAAATAAAAAATATCAAATTTATTGGTGCTCCCGATAAATTTCAAATGGTGCCTACGGCCATATAATGGTAGCTGCGACAATGAAAAACTCAGAATATGCAGTACTGATATATAATTTCCAAACGGGAATAAAAATAGGTTGATTCCAGTCTAGAAACATTGTTTTGAAGCTTAAAGTAATATCAATCTCAAGGGGGAGCTATACAATATAAAGAGTTTATTATTCACAATTTCTTCACTTTAGTTTAGACTCGATTTCAACCGTGATAACGATCATCGAATATTGTAGGATCGCATAAGCTTCCAATATGTTCATTTGAACCAAATCCATGACCCTGTAACAAAACTTTGTATTACCTTTAATGAATTCAGGAACAATTGAAAGAAATCTATTGAAACATTATACATGTGTACATGTAATTAAAAAACAAAGTTGTGTGGAAACTAGAAAATGAATATTTTGAACAGTTATGGTACCTCTTTATTTTGTAATTCGCCTCAAATACATGTATACATGTAATATAAATCTATCAATCATCTTCAATTTGACAGGATTTTCTTTTGAGTTTCCAGGCAGAGTAAATGATTTGTTTTGTTAAACATAGAAAATTGTAGCTTTGTAAAAAAAAAAAGGATCCAACAGGATACAACCATACATAACTTCAAAATGAAATTCAAAACGTTTAAAATTGAAAAATGCCTTGGGATTCTACACACAAAGCTAAAAAAATGTGGCACTGTTTCATTAATCTAAAATTAACTTACATGTACATATTCTAACCATGATCATAAATTCTAACTTTATATAATTAAATCTCTTGATGTTTTCATGTAAAAAATAAGTTTCCACAAGAAACTTGAGATGAAAATGATCAAAATATTACTTCCTCAGACACCGCAGAAGTAAGCATATGGGTAGAGATAAATTTGGCAACTACTCTCTTTTTATTTTTGTTTGTAAATCAATATCTTTTGTATTCAATAGATATCAACCTTCAATACATAATTAATATACATATCAAACAGTTGCATTAAGTCACATTAGGCCCCCCCCCCCCCCCCAAAAAAAAAAAAACATGTTTCGCGTCCTGTTTTTTCAAAAAATAGGAAGGAGGCCCATCTTTCTTCTTTTTTTCAAAATGGCCGCTCGATACATTTTCCCTGACATTCGGGCAATTTTTCAAGATGGCCGCCGACATTTTTTTTTTTTTTTTTTTTTAATCAGAAATAGATCCATTTTAGCAATGTTCTTTGTCTTTTTTTTCTGTAAAAAAAAAAAAAAAATTCAAAAAATTTCAAAAAATAAAAAATAAAATAGGAGGCGGCCCCCAAAAAGAAAGCGGGCGGGGACGCTAAACATGTATATTTTTGGTAATGGCCTTACATAGACCCAAGCCCAAGGTCTCTCAGAAACCTCCATCTAATCATCCTGATAATGACATTCAGAAGTTGCAAAGAATCTAAAACTCTGCGGCAGGGTTGCTTACTCGCACTCTACTTCATGATCACATTAGCCCAGTTTTAGAAAAACTCTATTGGCTTCCAGTAAAACAATGAACTGATTTTAAGATTTTGACATTTGTGTTCTTGTGCATGCAAGGATTAGGCCCTGATTACTTACAACAATTGATAACGAAATAACGTCCGGCAAGAAACCTGCGCTCTCAGTCAAAATCCTCCTTAGTTCCTCCCTCAATATCAACAAATTACTATAGTGCGAGATCTTTTCAACTGGCAGCTGCAGAGTTATGGAATAAATTACCTAGTCATCTTAAGTAGGTTGATACGGTAGAAAATTTCAAGAGTCTCTTAAAGACACATTTGTTTGTTGTTAAATTAGTACAATGTTATGACAAAGCAGTTATTCTTTCTCTTCTCTTCCCTCATGTTTGCTATTATCCCTTCTTTTCCTTTTTCTGAGTGCATAGGGACTTAAATTTACTTTTGTGATATGCGCAATATACGAATGGTTTATTATCATTATTATTATCCTGATTGGACAGTCTTGTTCTATCACAGCTCTTGCTTGCTAGGATGTAGGATGTCTGTACAACCTTGGTCCCTCCCTCAGCGTAGTAGAAGGTTCATCTTCACTGCTCTGTCTCTTTCAACATCATGATTTCTTACTTGTCACTGGTCCTGCATTGTAATTGTCAATAGGGCCGAAGGTCTGAAAGAGTTGGTCTTTTATGGTTCCTGCTTGCCAGGATGTCTGTGCGACCTTGCGATGGTGACGATTTTGTCTCGGAGGGTAGGGTTCTTGAGCTTCAGAGCTCTGTCAACATCTCCACCTGAAGTCAGCCAAACGAAGGCATACCTACACAAAATGATCATCAGAGATAAAACATACTCATGAGAACACTAGCACATCACAACTCAATCAAATTGAAATACAATACATACATGGCCAATTTAGCATAGTTTATTGAATTGATTTTGCATTAAAGATTACAATTCTACATGTACTTCAAATCAAGGGAAAAACAAGAAATCCTGCTTCTTATAACTGTGTAGATAGAGCTTTTTATTATTTTTTTTCTCTGAATAAGTTCCTTTTAATGATTTGAAGCCTTCATGAAAGAATACTGTACAGATTGTTCTACAGGGGTGTTTCATAAAGCTATGCCTAAAGTTATGCATGACTTTACAAATGACTTGAATATGCGAGCTAAATGAGATTCTCAAATCCTTTTAATTGCATATTTAAGCTATAGTTGAAATATGCAGATGTAGATTAACCTTATCATCATTAACAAACATTTTAATGCAAAGTGTATTTTGGGCTACAAGTTAATTGAGATTATGGGAAATACAGTCACACTTTGTTAAAATGTCAGGAAAAATGGGCATCCCATTTGGCTCTTCATATTCAAATCATAAATTTGTAAAGTCATTCGTAACTTTACGCACAGGTTTGTGAAACACCCCCATTGGTCTCTTTAAATCGCGACACCATACAGTCAATTACATTATCATTTACTAAAAGCATACATTAAACTTCCCCCCCCCCCCCAAAAAAAAAAGTAATTTTTCAAATTATGTCATGCAGGGATAATTAAAAAGTAATATAATGAAGTTAAAATCTCTTAATATATAACAGAGTATGTTTGGAGCCAAATTGACATTAACTCAGAAAATTAGCAGAGAGTTAAAGCCCTTAAGGCTCTGAACAGATGAAATGAAACTAAACTATGAGAAAGGAGAAACAGAGGGGAAAAGAGAGCAAGACAGAAAGAGGGAGAAAGAGGGAGGAAGACAGGGAAAGAGAGTGAAGGATAGAGGGAGAGCCGGATAGAGAGAGATAGAGAGAGAGAGAGAGCGCACAAGACAGAAATCGTAAAATAGACAGAGAGAAGGGAAGAGAGAGAGAGTAAAAAGAATGAGGGGAGGAGAGAGATGGAGGCTAAAGCAATTTAAAAATGTTTTTGAATGTTTGATTGTTTAACACCAATTTTACGTTGGCTCTGGAATGAGACATGAAACTATACTGAGAGACTGGGAGAGGACAAGAGAGCAAGCAACGGATAATGAGAAAAGGAGAGAGTGAGAAAGAGAGCAGAAGAATGACAAATTTAAATAGACAAAGAGGGGTTGACAGACACAGAGACAGAGAGAGAGTCGAGATAAAGAGAGAGGAAGGGGAGGGGGGGGGGAGAAATGGAGGTCAAGCTGTTAAAAACTTCTTTTGTTACTACTTGGAGCCAGAAGGACATTGATTAACTCTGTGCGAAATAATTTGAGTTAATGCCCTTCTGGCTTCCGACAGACATTAGGGGCTTTTAGATTTGCACAATGACAACGTGGATTGCTACGATGGACGTCCTTTTAATGCACTGCCTTGAATGGACGTCGCACGTATCAGTCCACGCAAATCTAAAAGTCCCTATTACTCAGGTGTGCTCTCACCCTCTTGATGTTTTATCGTTTCCTTTCTTTGGTAGGATGACGTTGGTAGGGTTACAGTCAGAGGTCTCAAAGAAAGCCATGACTTCATCTTCCTTGAGCTTAGGATGGAGGTTGCTTACAAACAGTTTCCTCTTGAAGGTGGGATCTGAAAAAAAGAACAAGATTTCATTTAACCCCCAGACTACTCAATTCTTTCATTCCCATAGGCTCAATCAAGCTGAAGTTCATTCTTTATTCGTTCTTCAGTATATAAAAACAAAACAAAAATTAAAATATATACAAAATATTTCAAAGGAAATTACAAGGTACATTAAATGAATTTATATAAAATAATAAGAATAAAGGGGCCTCATTAAAAGCCTACCGTACTAAGGCTTGACAGGTTGATGGTCCCAAGAACTATCAAGTTATAAGATTGATATTTCGGGGGAGTTCTTTTTAAAGATAAAACAAAGATGTTGGGGGGTATTGAATTTCAAAATTAAATTAAAGAACACCCTGTTTCAGCAGCTAATGAGTTAAAGAGAAGAAACAAAACACAACCAATTGCACTTAACATTGGTGATCCCATGTTTGCAATCCAAAATTCAAAATACAGCTTTGAATATTACTCCTGAAAAGGTGTTATTTCTCTGTAAAGTGGTCATCCAAGCAGGTTTGAATGAATAACGGATTGTTGTCTTACCTTCATTGCTGTTATCATCATTCAGCATGTGAATAAGAAGCTTACAATCCTTGCCTCTCAACGGTGAAGGCATACTGATTCCATTCAACCTACACAGCTTCTCCGCTTCATCCGCCGTACTGCAGATGATTGTTGCATATCTGAAATGGAATAAACACAACGGCTATCAAGAGTACCAAGGGCTCTTCTCTTTCTCTTTTTTTCTTCTCCCCTTTTTGTTTTTCTTTCTTTCTTTAAATAACATGACAGCATACATGTACTTCATATAAATGGTGGGCAATAATCAAGACTTTAAAACCGTAACATTTCATGTGCAAGACACTTTCATCAATTTCACGAACGGTCCAGATTTGCAAGTTGTACTCAACAAATTCAAAGAAATACAATACAACACATTTGTGAAGTTTCTGTTTAAACAGCACATAAAATGAACTTTCAAGTGATAAGTTATCAAAGACTAAAGAACTCTTACGTGACAAACTGCTTCTTTTCTCCAGCCGCTGATTTCTTCTTTCTCTTGAGGATGATATGTGTAGGAAAGACATCTGCTTCTCCGATGAACATCCGAAGGGCTTCTTTGCCGACTCCGACAGGCAGGTTTCCACATCTCACCGCAAATCCTTCCCGCCCTGAGTAATAACAAGTTTTGTTTAATTCAATAGACAAGTCTGAAAGCACCAGCATTCATAATATTTAAATCTAGCCTGATAAGGAAAGAGGGTTAACAAATTTGTTTTTACAATAAGAGGTGTTGTAGTCCAGTGGACGTATCTCGGACGTATGAGGTGCAGGACTGAAACGGAGTTAAGTCTTTTGTCAACTCCGTTTGTTGCTACGGCAGGCAGCCAGTGATAACGAATTCGTTTAATCAAATTATGGAAATGCAAGCATACTGTAAACAAACAGAACTGTTATTCCTGGCTCATTTTTCCTGATTGAGGTGTTACATGAAAGGGCAGAAAATGAACTTTCTAGAAATGTGATTTCTTCTTTGAAATTAAGATACCGCCCAAAAAATTACTACCGGTAATTGATATATTTGGTAAATTATCATATCGATCCGGCCTGGATAGATATCGCGAATGCACTTCAACATTGAAAATTTTGGCATATATTTCTGCTTTTTTGCAAATTTTGGTTAAAGTATTGCCATCTAAACCTCTGAAGGCAATATTTAAACAATACTGAATGGATATTTTGCACCCAAAACCCTTGAACCGCAATCTTACCACTACTGGTCTTTCCCTTTCAACTTTGAATGAAATTACACCACATAATAAAAACACTTCACCAGTGCTGAGAGAAAAGATATATTTCTCCTTCTGATCATAAAACAATTTTTTCTACAATTAATCAAGACTTCATAAATATTTGGACTATTCAACAATGCTTATGGTCTAAAAAAATTGCAATAGGTTCATACATGTAGATATAATTTCTCTTTCTAAATATGCATCAAATTAAAGAATCTCCTTACCTGGTTTTTCTTTCTTTGCCTGTGGTTCTCCTGACTCACTATTAGAACGTTTCCTTTTCTTTCCCCTCTTCTTGCTCTTCTTTTTCTTTCCTTTGTCAGCTCCTTCGCTCTTTTCAACATTTTCTTTGCTGGGTTCATCTCCCGACACTGTCTCATCTGTAACCTTTTTCTTTTTCTTCTGCTTCTTTGTATTTTGTCCATTTTCGATGATTACCTTGGCGACTTTCTGTTCCTTCTGGGGAGATTCCTGACGAGAAAGTGCGGCCTTAAATTCCTCTAATCCCAAGGATTTTCTCTTTAATATTGGAAAATCAATCTCTACATCTTCTACTTCAACTTCCTCATCAGTTGTCGTCTTCTTCTTCTTCCTCCCCGATTTCCTCAAGATTTTCTCTTCCTGATCTTCGACAGCTTTCTCTTTCTGAACACTTGGTGTTCCTTTGGAAACCTGCCATTTTGAGGTTGAACTCCTCAATTTCTTGGTTGAGTTGCTCATTTTTGAAACACCTTCACCTCCCATTTTACTCACAGTCTTAGATTTCACAGGACTTTGGAGGAGATCTTTGTCACCTTCATCATCATTGCTACCATCTTGAAAGAACAACTTCTTAGCAACCAAGTCATCCTTGGACGGAGTCTTCATTTTATCTTTCTTGATTTTAGCTTCACTCTTTGGGCGTTTCTTGCCGCTTGACATCCTATTCAAGATGGCTTCTTTGGGGAGTTTTTGGGCTGCAGTTGATTTGCTGAGCTTTGTCTTCTTTATTTTCTTCTTCTGTTCAGGTGACAAGTCCATCTTCCTGCTGATTTATTCAATGTATCCTGATTTTAAGCCTGAAATGAGATTTATTAAAAGAAATAGCACATAATTGTAAAGAGAAAAGGCACAGGTCATGATTTATTATTACGGGGGTAATAAGTAAAGGCAGAGCTAAGAGGTAATATTACTTATGATGGAATATGTGATACGCAATGTTCAACAATGGCGTTTACTCCTTGTTAAAAATATTATGTCCCTTTTGCAGCCAACATCAAATTTTGTAGAACTTTGCAGGAATTATGAATATGTCATGTACAGTATGTCCTATCTGTGAAATTTTAACTAGTATTCAAATTATGCAAGGAAACTTGTTTACCTTCTAGACTTCACTGTCAAGACACTATCGAGTGACTGACCGACATGATTTTTTTCTTTGGTACTAAATATAAAATAAGTAACAGGTACATGAGCATTTGTCTACTTCAATAACCCACTACCTTGTAATGGCCAAAATTAAACTGATTGAATCATTGTGCAGCACAAAACGTACGACCATTCGGTAAAAGGGTCTGAAAATCAGACTTTTACTTACTGTCTCTATAGCTCTTAAGTCGATTCGACAACTAATAGTCATTATTTTCCCACACTTAAAGACATTTTTCAAAATTCAAGCCCCCTTTTTTTCAGGGAAGTTCTCTCTCTCTTTTTTAATCCCTCTTATTTTCTTTTTTTTTAGGCTTCAAACTACAAAGGAAAATAAGAGGGATTAAAAGAGAGAGAGAGAGAGAGAGAAGAACTACAAAGGAAAATAACAGGGATTGGGAAAAAAAGATAAAGTAGAGCAGGGACGGATCTAGGACTGCACAGGGGGCACGTGACCCCCCCCCCCCCAACCAAAACAAATATATAATAGTGCGCACTACCCCACCCCCCTCCTCCTCCCTCCCTGGAAATTCCTGGATCCACCCCTGGAAGAGAAAGAGATTTGGAAAGGAATATACAAAGAAAAACACTAGTACAAAGGAAAATTAGAGGGAGAGGGAGAGATAGAGAGAGAAAGCTTAAAAAGGAGAAATATTTTGACAGAATTATCAAAGAAATAATCGGACTTTGTAAAATTCACAATGTTCTGTAATGAAATTTTTAAAAATACCAGCATAATGGCGATCTAGCAGTGCTTGATTATTACCAATGCCAGTTGAAATCGCCATGACGTGATAAGCACGTCATGGCATCTGGCGATCTCAACTGGCATACCGCACACTAGCACGCGAACATTTAGCATCCCACATCACAACCATCAGAACATCCCAGTGTCCCACTGCATGCGTTTCATCTATAAACAGCACATTCAACGGAAACAGCTGTAACACAAGTCAGAGGTCAGCGCCATTGTTATTTAGAACTGAAATACACACGCTGCATGTGTACTTGTACCTTAGCTCTGTCGGTCTGGTAAGAAATTTGCGCTTATTTCCATATTTTTACCTCCGATTTTTAAATTCAGGATGTAATTAGGACCAAAAGTCCAACAAAATTTATCAAGGCCACTGTCCAATATTGGTCGGGTGCGGGAAAGTGTGATTTTGGACACATTTTAGATGTTGTTTACCTACCTCTCCGCGCGACCCTATGGGAGCAAATTAAGGCTCCCTGGAATAACATATCATAAAAAACATTTCCAGGGAGCCCTTAAGAATTAAGGCTAGCTAAGAATGGATTAGACCGAAAGCTTTCGGTCTAAGAATGGATATGAAACTGCTAAAAAAATGGATACGAAAGTAGGCCTACACTAGGTCTAGCTAGCGCCCCCAATTTTGTTAGTCCTAGATCTATAGTAATTTGGCTTACCTGCAGAATACCCAGCAGATACACTTGTAACATTTAATAACAATAACATGTGTTAGACTAGATCTAACTTAAATCAGATTCCTAGTTTAACCTAGACCGAATTTTCCGTCTCTTTCGTTCGTTAGCCTCTTATTGGGGTAGGGTCGGCCGGCTCTCTCTTTAGAGACGGAAACCGTCTATACACATTCCCTTGATAACGCCACGGCCATTTCAGGTCGTAGCGTTTTGCCCCCAAAATCCCCCAAAATGTCATTTTACCTCGTGCATGTTATATTGTAAATTAGGCCTAGATCTAGGCTATAATAAATCAGTTCCACTTACCAACTTGACTGAAATAATCAGTTTAATAGACCCTAGGGTAGCGCGCCCAGTATTCGGTCAATTCCCAGTATTCGGTCAGACAGCCGTTTCAACAGCTGTAACAATTTAAAAAATAATTTATGAGCCACGAAACTTGCACAAATCAGGCAGCTGAACAACTTTTCTTAACTTTCAAAATTAAATCAGATTTAGGGCCCCGGAAAGATCTCCAACTTAGCTCGAAGTTGGTCAGTGTCGCACAACTTTCCGCACTTTCGCGTTCTCTTAGCACATGCGCTAACATGCATAGCCATATGTAGAAGTCTATTGCGAAACAACTACGTGTGCTGTCACAATGAATTTAGTATGTGTGTGAAGAGAATCACTTCCGTGTTCGCTCCATCGCAGCGAATTTGCAAATGACGCACTTGCCGATGTGCAAGAGGTATTTATACGATACCCTTGCCCTGCGGTATCGCTCAGCCAGTATTCGGTCAACGCATTTTTAGGAAATTATGGGTCAAAATCGAAATCCATTTTGAAAATCTTTTTCAACATGGATTTTGATTTTGACCCATAAATTCCTAAAAAGGGACTATTAAACTGATTATTTCAGTCAAGTTGGTAAGTGGAACTGATTTATTATAGCCTAGGCCTAATTTACAATAGGGTCTAGATCTAGGCCTAGAATCTAGATTATAACATGCACGAGGTAAAATGACATTTTGGGGGATTTTGGGGGCAAAACGCTACGACCTGAAATGGCCGTGGTGTTATCACGGGAATGTGTATAGACGGTTTCCGTCTCTAAAGAGAGAGCCGACCCTACCCCAATAAGAGGCTAACGAACGAAAGAGACGGAAAATTCGGTCTAAGTTTAACCCCACTCACACACAAAACAACACGTCGGACTACACGCGTCTACGGCACATAAGAATATTTCGGTAAAATGTCTCGTTATTCTGAATAATATTTGACTAATATATATAGAAAACTGATGAAGTGACGTTTACCTTCAGAGTGTAAAATATTCTGTGTTTCGTCAAAATGCAAGGTTAAACTTCCAGCATAATTCGGCTTACCATCTGAAGATAGTATACAAAACAGCCGATATGACACATGTGCGCTTGCCGTGTTAACACGTGTTAACGTATAACGTGCACGTACACGCGTAGCGGATCGGATCGAAGCAATGGATGCAATAATTTCTAGGAGCTATATTATTCACCCAGGGAGGTGTTATTCACCATGCAAAATTAAGCGAAAAAGCTCCAGAGCGTCGCCCCACTGGGATTTGAATAATAATTATCAGAGGCGGCCCTCCCGGGGGGGGGGGGGGGGCAGGGGAAGCACAGTCCCCCCCCCACCCGAAATATGCCCCTTTTTACATTGGAATAGTGCCCCTATTAATTTGTAAAAGTGCCCTTCCCCTTTTCAAATCTGATAGGTGCCACTTTTATTTGGACATGTGCCCCTTTTCGTTCGACAAGTTCCCATTTTCCTTTGCAAAAAATGCCCCCTTCACCTCTGATAATTATCCTATTTAAATCGAGAGGTACGTGCCTCTTTTACTTTGGCAAGTGCCCCTTTTCCTTTGTAAGAAGTGCCCCTTCCCCTTTTAACTCGGATAAGCGCACCTTGCATGTATATTTTCACATGTGCCCTCTTTCCTTTCTAATGAGTGCCCTTTTTCCTAATGATAAGTGCCCCATTAAAAAAAAAAAGAGCGCCTTCTCCTTCTCATAAGTGCCCTTTCTCTGGTAAATGACCCTTTTCAGATACGAGAAGTAACTCCTCTTCACTTCAGATAAGTGCCCCCTTCACCTCCGTTAGATGCCCCTTTAAAATCTGATCGGTGCCCATTTAATGCACATTTTCCTTTATTACAAGTGCCCCTTTTTCCTTCACATAAGTGCCCCTTTTCATATCTGGTCATTGCCCCTTTTCAGGTGCGATAAGTGCCTCTTTTTACCTCTGATAATTTCCCTTTTAACAATATATATATAATAATATATTATAAATGCCCCTGTCAAAATCTGATGGAGGCCCCTTTTCCATCGACAAATGCCCATTTCCTATTCTATGACTGACTTTTTTTCATCCCCGGTGATTGCCTCTTTTTGAGGGTGTAAGAAGTGCCCCATTTTCACCTCTGATAATTACTCTTTGTACTTTGGCCCATGCTCCTTTTCTTTCTTGATAAGTGTCCCCTTTTCCTCTCATCATTAAACGCGCCCTAGCTAATTTCATGCTATTAAGAGCAATCTCCCCCAAAGCTCGCTCGCTACGCTCGCACGCATCTATAGATGATAAACTTATGTTACTTATCAAAGGTCTTTTCAGTCTTCCGTTATGAGAATATGCTTATAACCCCATTAGGATTGGGTTTTTCCCCTTTTTATAAGATGTAATTTTTCGCACTTCGACCTCACTCATCTTAAAAATTTTCCTCGCTCGCTTCGCCCGCTCGCAGACAATATTGTTGACAATCAAACCCAACTGCAAAGCATAATGCTTAAGCAATATCTTGTATGGTGTATGAAGTGAAACAAATATTGAAATCATCCTTGATAATTGTAATCACATCGTAGGGGTATATACACCGTCGCTCATAAAGTTGGAATATTTTTGTTTTACCCCAATTTATGGAATTATTTTAAAAATAATTAAAAAATAATAGATCTAGATAATTGTATACATTCTCAGATTGTATTGAATAATAATTTGACAATGTGTGTTTTGCGTGACTGCTTAAGCATGTGTATGCTACTATGCTTATCAAATAGGGGACCTACGCCCTTAAGTCATAAATGACAGTAATGAGGATTAATGCCCCACAAAAGGGCACTAGTATAGCACATCGACACGGTTGCTTTGCCACTGAACCATGACTGTACGCAGCGGGGGCTAGGGTAGGGGGCAGTTTCCATAAATAACATAAAAACAGAAAATGCAATAAATTTTCAATAATTTATTGCATTTTACCCCGGTCCCCAACATAAACAAATCCTCTGGATGGCCATGCATTATGGCTCAAGGCATGGGCACACAGAGGATTTTTTATTTTGTCAGAAAGGCAGGTTACTGCCAGTGTCACAAATAAGGTAAAGTAAATGCCTATACCCCCTGAACTTCTGGGGGCTCCACACCTTGATCCCCTATACCCCACGCCAATTTACGCTACGCTCTACATGATCGTAAATACCGCCCCACCCCCACCTGCTTAGAGAAACGTTCAGCGGGGCCTGCATGTAAGAATGGGGTGATGCGGATTTTTTTTTACCCCCCCCCCAAAAAAAAAACAAAAAACAAACAAACAAACAAACAAACAAACACAAACAAAAACAAAAAACAACAACAATAACAAACAAACAAACAAACATACAAAACAAAACAAAACACGTTTTTGCTCATTTCGCCACTGCCGGTGTCACCATTACGTACCAATATTTTCAAATATATCGAATCATCTGGTAAATGACATTTCCACTCTAATTCAATTTGCAAAGAAGGAAATGTAATATGCAAATGTATCTAACCCAATGGCCCGAATTCACAAAGGAGGTTTAGATTTAACCCAGGCTAAATCTAACCCTGGGTTATTTAGCCCAGGCTAAATCTAACCCACGGTTTAAACCTCGCTCGGTATTCACAAAGCGTGGGTTAAATAACCCATGGTCTAAATCTAACCCACGGTTTAACCCACGGTTTAAAGGTAAAGACCAGTAATGGTCATGCGATTGCATTGTGAAAGAAACGTTGTGGAATCGATCAGAAAAGGTCGATCATCTAGCATCTAGCATCTGCAAGGTTCTGGAATCATCAAAATGATAAGAAATTTGGCTCATTCTTCGTAAAGTTACAAGCACTATACACAGAAAGATGTATATGGGACTACCCTATCTCTCTCACCAGACCATGAGAGAAATAAATTTACCAAATATATGAATTAGTAGGCGGTTTCCCGGCAAATTTTTTATCATCATGTATTAGTCAAAACATATTCTTTCACATGATTGGTAATGAGAGCTTCCATTTCATTTTTTGAAATTGGGGCGTTGCCAATACTGGTCTTTACCTTTAAGCATGCCTAAGAGAGCAAAAAAATAAACTGAGCATGCGCAAAATTGAAGCGTTGAACTGAGCATGCGCGCTCAGTACACTTGGTTACTCCACCTAGTTCACCGTCGTCTGCTAAGTCAAGATTCAGTATTTGGGCTATTACTCTTCGCCTACAAGTAGAGACTGAAAACCGACCAATTCTAAGTTAAGATAAGACTTTAAACCACTATTCACATATTAAAACAGTTCTCTGACAGATGTCCTCAAAATATTACCGAATTTCGCATAAATTACCTCAATAACTCCTCACTATCGTTGTTAATTTATGGCCTATAATCGTCCGACATAATTATGATCAGCTGGGCATCACAACACACTAAACATCGACAGTTTTCGTGGAAGAGTCCACAAAAAACTTCTGTAAACGACCCTTATACCAGAGTGAAAATTTTCTATGATGTAGTGTTCATTTTAGAGCTATATGATCACATTTTCGTTGATTGTTATGATGATTTTAGAGCGTAGGTCACACTTTAGTTTAGCAGTTAATCAATCCGAAGTAAGAGTAGACTCGTGATATATATAGCGTAGACTCCGTAGAGGCAGCGAAAGCGATCGATGACGTTAAGTCCAGAATGTGTTGATGATGTAGAAAGAAAGGGCTGAAAGGTTACGATAAATACTATCTGATAGAAAATACTGGCATTAATGCATAAAATGCATAGATGTGTGGAGAAAAAAAAAACCGGGCTTACTGGTCATATAAAATAAGAGGACAGCAAAAACAAGGCAGTCTTGACATGTGATAAAGAATTATAAGGCCCAATTCGGGGGGGGGGGGGGGGGGAGGGGACATTAATTGTTTTCTTAGGGGATGGGTTTTTTTTTTTGAGGGGGGGGGGTTAATTTTGTTCTTAATTTTTCATAGGGGGGAGGGGGCATTAATTGTTTTCTTAGGGGGTGGGGCTTTACTGGGGGTGGGGGTAATTTTGTTTTTAATTTTTCTTAGGGGGAGGGGGCATTAATTGTTTTTTTAGGGGGGCATTTATTTTTTCTGAATTTGTTTATTTGCTGTATTAATCCTTTTCTTAGGGGGGCGTTCATTTTTTTTTTGTTCTTAATTTTTCTGCTTTATTGAATTTCTCAAGGGAATAGTGATTTAAACAAAAAGAAAAGAACTTTTTTTGTAAATTTCGTCTCTACTTCTCACTCTTTCACCTTCCTTGTTTTTGTTTGTTGTCTCTCTTTTTTCACCAGCTCTCCACCCCACCTCTCTCGAATATCTTTTTATTTTGTTAGAACTCCATTTTTTTAAATCCCTCTCGTACCCCTTTTCTTTCTCTTTTTTCTCCACCTCTCTCTCTCACACATACCCTTTCTCCTTCTTTCTTCATCTCTCTCTTTATCTTTTGCTCTCTCTCTGTGGGTGTTTGGATTTAGCGAAACATACTGAATCCATTTTAATTCATGGTGTGTACTGGGTAATTATAAGTAATACGTAATAAGTAAAACGTTTACCTCCTAACTTAATGATTTCACGAGAAAAACCACACCATCAAACAAGAGAAATTTATATTTAAATATTGACGATTTAATATCGATGATGATGTCAGTGATGATAATGATGACAGCAATGTTGTCGGCGGCGATGGTGATGAAGCAGTCAAATAACGATTTCAGTGATGATGTTGATGATGATGAAGATGATGAAGATGATGACGATTTCCCTTTCAAAGTGGTTGGTACCTTTTGCAAAAATGTTTTTGGGAGGAACTATATCAACCATTAGATTTCAAATCATACGGTCTAATTGTTTCAGACCACAGTACTGCATGGGTGTACGTTTCGTTCAGAGAAACTAAAGGGTGAACCAATTCCATATCGGTCATTTAATTAATTGCATTAAAAGTAAATGGGGAGCATCTCCAAAAAAAAGGAAAATTTTCATTTCATTAATAGAGTATCTGTTCTTCCTATTAATAAAATACAGGGCTTGATCTCCACCAGGACTCCTGATGTAGACATGAGTCCTATCAATTGCACCTAGAAAACCTGGCAACCTGCAGTATTGGTAGAACTGCTGCTGTGTTGCTTCTACTTCTTCTCTTGATGTTGGGAACTTCATGAATTGTTTCCTTCTTCTTGCAAACGCTTCTGACACGTCTTTGATGACTCTGCATACAGAAGACTGTGAAAGTTGTGCCTCATCACCATGCATCTTTTGGAATGACCCTGTAAAAAAAAAATCCTTTTAGTGAAATATCAACTAGTACAATTTCTTACAAGTTACATGGCCAGATCAAATTCTCAAACTGAGAAATGTTTAATGTCCTTAAAATTGTAGAATAGATTTTTTATTAAATCAGGGCTGTCAACCCTCTTGCATTTAGAGTGAGTCTCACGCCACCACGCCCTTCCTCCCGCTTTGATGTAGAATCTCCCGGTTTATGAAAAAACCTCCCTCAAAACATGGTAACCGCAATTTTACCCTTTTACTTTTTCGCTCAGCCCAGATTAAATAGAAATTTACTAAATACTAAATAAGGTAAATTATTCACCAACAGCATAGAATCGTAGTGCTGTCACTACCTGTATAGATCTAGGTATTGGGTCGTTTCTGTCTGTCGTCCTCCTCAGCTCTTCATCCACCAAGTTGATGAGGTAGAGCGCTGTCTCTTTGGAAAACCAGTACCTGGTCCGAAAGGACTCATCATACACTTCAAAAGGGTTCATGGGTCACGAAGGCCTCTCTGAGGTCTGCCTATCAACTCTCTGTTCCGATCAAGCTGGCGGAGATGGTGCATATATTCAGCCATGCTGTCTCTGTCACAACGAAATAGAAAAAAGTGAATTAAAATTAGAACATGAAATGAAAAAATATCATTCATTGTTTATCAAATAAATCCTATGATATTACATGTTTTGCATTCTTTGTATTGTAGACAATCTGATTTTGAATAGCTTTTGCAAACTCTAAAAAAAATATTAACGATACTTTGATTGCATTAAAGAAACGAGTGCTATTGTTGATTCATACTAGATCTAGACCCTATTGGGTAATTAGGAAAGATGATGTCACTGAACCTCCATAAGAACGTAGGGGCCAATTCCTGTCATGTTTTGTTAAAAATCTACTCATGCTTGATAAAATGTGAAATTAGATACATGTACATGTAAATTAGCATTAGATGTCCCATGTGAAAGGTTGAATTTGACTAAGATTAGACCCTACATGTAGATTAGGAAGAACACACATTGATTTATTGGCTATTTGCTTGCACAGATTTTAAACTTGCTTCAAAATTCAAGTACAACAATGTATTGATGTAGACTCTAGGCCTAGACATGATCATGATGCCTAGTATAAATTTGTAGGAGTCGAGTGTAGAGACATTCGACAGTCAGTACTAGAGTCTAGTCTAGATCTAGATCTAGATGGGCCTAAAGACAAAGTACCTCTCATTCAGCTCAGACTTGTGCTCGTCGAACTCAGTGACGGTGAGACACACAAACACTCAACTTCTCAAGACACAACACAACAAACCATCGGCGCGGGCTTGGCATGAATTTATGAAAAGTAGGTTTAGAAAGGTCTAACAGTTAGGCCTAGACCACATAGATCTAGACTAGATTATAGATCTAGAGCCTGAGGTCTAGTCAGAATCTAGGTCTATACCGGTAGACCCTACGGCCTAGATCTAGGTCTACTAGACCAGTCCTAGTTCTAGATCTAGAAATAGGGTGTCTGATCGCGCACCCGATGTTGTGTGCTAAAATTCTTCCCATAGAGATTACACGCATCCCTATGCAGCCTACGTGCATTGCGCGACCATGCAAAAAAAGTCAATTTTTTTTTTTCAAATCGAGATTCAAACCTTTATCAGTTGTGATCCTGAAGGTGATAATCAATGAATGAGGTGTCATATGAAAGAGCAGGTGAATTCCAATATTTCCAAAGGGGCGTAGCCCCCGAAATTCTAAAAATATCTTGGTCAAAACAGCAATTTAAACATTGTGTCCTGGCTAACTCTGAGGTTTGTCACTTTTGAGATATGACGCCCCGATCGATAAGTAGTCCCAGTCCTAAGGAACAATTCTATGTGATTATATTTTCGCTAGCCCCCAGGGATCACAACTGATAACAGTTTAAAAATACCCTTCTCGCTATTTGGTGGATCAGCTAATTAGGAGGCGTGCGCTCCGCTCAGTCCAAACCATGGTTACATCGCGTAACATCTCCGCGCACGAACGAAACCCCAAATTCAATTACACATTATAGTGACTGAAATTATGGTTGGCAATTCCCTCGATAAACCCGGAAGTGAATACACGTTATAGTCAATGGCAATATCGCGGAGACAACGTGCGTTGTCTCCGCGATATTGCCATTGACTATAACGTGCATTCACTTCCGGGTTTATTGTGCGACGAACGCCAACCATACTAGTCAATCGCACATGTCGCGGAGACAGCGTAGCTCAAGCTGCAAGTCGCGGATTGGCTTAGCAGCATGCGTACGATATGCATACGCTTGCATATCGCGCGATACAGCTGTTTGGCTAAATTTAGCAAAACAACATCACTCTGCGTGGACGTCTTTTTCGTCGATTTTGACCAAAATGATATGAATATACCAGCGTGTTGGAGGGGCTGTAACTTTTGATAGAAACATCGGTGAGACTTGAAATTTGAAATGTATTATTCTGATAACATTTTTTATTCAAATATCAAACAAAAATGGTGAAAAACGATCCCAAATTGAAAATTGAAAAATCGTTCAGACACCCTACTAGAAAGTCTAGAGTAGATCTACTAGACTAGACCTAGACTAGATCTAGGTCTAGACCCTAGACCTAGGTTTTGAAAAATATTTTAGATCCAGGCCTAGGGTCTAGATCTATTCCGTTTCAATTTCTAGACTTCTAGATTCTAGGTCTAAATCCAGAGGGTCTAGACTAGATCTAGGTCTAGATTCTAGACCTAGAGTCTAGAATAGATCTAGATCTAGATCTAGACCTTTTACAATAATTTACAAAATACTTTTAATAAATTCATGCCGTGGTTTGGCGTGCTTTGACTAATTTCTTGAGACTGAGGACTAGAATCTAGATCTAGAATCTAGATAGATCTAGGCCTAGATCTAGTATCATCTAGCCTAGATCTAGGCCCATGTCGTGTTTGCGTGTCTCACTGCCACCGACTTCGAGCTCAAGCTCAGGTCTTATTCAGTCAGTACTGAGTGTCAGTGTAGGCCTAGTAGTACTAGAGACTAGTCTAGATCTAGGTCTAGACCAGGCCTCTGTATATAGTAGGCCTAGATCTAGACTAGACTAGTCTAGTAAACTAAAATCCATCAGCGTGGAAGAATTTTCATTTTCATTTCGGCATTTTTCGTTCTCCTCCGTTAGTCAGATGAGAAGCAGCATCATCAGCAAAGCAGAAAATACAAATGGAACTGTCGCTACCCCCCCCCCCCCCCCCCCCCGAGGCCAGGAATGTCTCAAATGTCATATTAACATATTTTTCTTCCCGAATCACACAGTTGTGTGATGTTATAGCCTAACTAATTTCGTATTGTTAGCTGGCACATTCGCAGTTATTGCGAAATTGCCTTGCCTCGCAGGATTACATAAACACAACACAACACAAATACACACGCATGGGTCCGAGCTGCGTTAGGTTCTGCGACAATGTTCGCAAAGGCTGTGCAACTTACGATGAAGATTATTATTCGTGCACTTTTTACGCACATAAAACATGTTCAATTGGGCTTCCATTGTAGCAGAACTGAGAATATGGTACACATATGTTGTGAATAACTAAAAATACTTACAATGTAGACTATCAAAGTTGAAAAAACAGCAACTTTGTGAAGGTCTCTTCACTTTGTTTCACCACAAATTTGTCAACAAAATTTGTACGGTCGTCTGCGCTAAAAAGCCTAAGCTCGCTGGTATGACGTCATATGACGCGTTAAACCGTGGGTTAAACCGTGGGTTAGATTTAGCCCGCTGTTTAAACTACCCTTCTGAGCAGGCTAAAATTATGACGTAATATGACGCGATTTAGCCTGGGTTAAATCTAAACCTCCTTTGTGAATTCGGGCCAATATGTTCCAACTGGTCTCAAACGGTCCATATTGGTTTCATGGGTTTTAAAGTGGAATCAAGTGAAAGATATACCAGTAAGGCCTAAAGTTGTTAACTGATATCAACTGGTGTAACAATTTAATACCAGTATGGTTAATTGGTTTCATCGTAGGGATATTCATTGACATCGCTGCCTGAAACTATGGACTTTTAGATTTGCACGTCGAAACGTGTGCACGGGTGTCGCCAAAGGGGGGGGGGGGGAATAATAACTTGTCAGTATATTGTCGGCGAAATTGCGCTGCCGTCGGGAAAAAAAAGAGAAAAGGGGGAGGGGAAAAGAGAGGGAAAGGGAAAGAAAAGAAAAAAAGGAAAAGGAAAAGAAAAGAAAGAAAGGAAAAAAAAAAAGAAAGAAAGGAAAAGAAAGGAAAGAAAAGAGAAGAAAGAAAAAGAAAAAGAGGGAGGAGAGGAAAGAAAGGAAAAGAAAGAAAAGAAGGAAAAAAAAGGGGGGAAGAGTAAAAGGGAAAGAAAAGAAACGGGGGTGAAAGAGAGGAGAGATGGGGGGGGGGGGTAAGAGCCTGACTGCCTGAGAGAGGAAGAGTGGGAGTAAAAGAGAGAAGGGGTTGTTGGATGGTGTCGTCTCGTCGAGGGAGCAAGAAAAACACGGGTAAATATGTTGCTGTGTTGGGTCAGCTGTGTCGGTATTCTTGCACGATCCTCGTGTACTATATCAATGCAGAAGTTTGAAGCATAGACGTCTATTACGTCTATGTTTGAAGTCGGTGAGATGTATATTGTCGGTCGGCCGACAAGTTTTTTTTTCCGCTACGAACTGTGACTCTTTATCCGCTGTGACGACTTCGAGAGTGACTACAACTAAAATACTTGTATTTCTCGAAGTTTCACTTTCCTATAATATCAGCTAAAGAAATCAGAATTTTAATATTTTGGGGGAAAAAATTCAAACAAGGTTTAAGAGTCAACAACGGTACGACAAATCGTCTTCTTTCTCTAATAATTTAAGGAAACGTCAAAGCTTCCGCGCTTCGCGCGAGAGGGGGAAACTGAATTCAGACAATTAGGGCTTAATAAGAGTCGAAAACGGTACAAAGATTCATCTTCTTTCTCTAATAATTTAAGGAAACGTCAAAGCTTTCGCGCTAAAGGGGAAAACTGAATTAAGACAATTGGGGCTTATTAAGAGTCGAAAACGGTACAACGAATCCTCTTCTTTCTCTAATAATTTAATGAAACGTCAAAACTTCCGCGCTTCGCGCGAGAGAGGGAAACTGAATTCAGATGAATAGGGCTTAATAAGAGTCGAAAACGGTACAAAGAATCCTCTTCTTTCTCTAATAATTTAAGGAAACGTCAAAGCTTCCGCGCTTCGCGCGAGAGGGGGGAACTGAATTCAGATAAATAGGGCTTAATAAGAGTCGCAAACGGTACGACGAATCGTCTTCCTTTCTCTATATTATGATGAGCGCCAAAAATTCCGCGCTTCGCGCGAATTGGAAAACTTAGACGAGTCAAGAACGATACAACGAATTGTCTTCTTTCTCTAATAATTTAAGGAAACGTCAAAGCTTCCGCGCTTTGCGCGAGAAGGGGAGACTGAATTCAGATAAATAGGGCTTAATAAGAGTCGAAAACGGTACGACGAATCGTCTTCCTTTCTCTATATTGTGATGAAACGTCAAAGCTTGCGCGCTTCGCGCTAAAGGGGGAAACTGAATTCAGACAATTAGGGCTTTTTGAGTCGAAAACGGTACAACGAATCCTCTTCTTTCTCTAATAATTTAAGGAAACGTCAAAGCTTCCGCGCTTCGTGCGAGAGGGGGAAACTGAATTCAGATAAATAGGGCTTAATAAGAGTCGAAAACGGTACGACGAATCGTCTTCCTTTCTCTATATTGTGATGAAACGTCAAAGCTTGCGCGCTTCGCGCTAAAGGGGGAAACTGAATTCAGACAATTAGGGCTTTTTGAGTCGAAAACGGTACAACGAATCGTCTTCTTTCTCTAATAATTCAAACAAAAATTCTGCTCTTCGCGTGGGAGGGGGAAGCTTCATTCAGACAAGGATTAAGAGTCGAGAACAGTAAACCGAATCGTCTGCTTTTTCTCATAATTGAATGAAACGTCAAAGCTTCCGCGCTATGCGCAGGGGGAGGGGGAGAAACTGCATTCAGACAAGGATTAAGCTTCCACGCTTCGCGCGGAAGGCCTATCACCCACACCCCCCCTAATGAGCGTGCTTCGCTTGCTCACTACCGCCCCTCCCTAAAATAAGATCCTAGCTCCGCGCCTGCATTAAAATATATAGCTATGATTGATGACTAAGTTGACGAAATAATTCGTATATTTGTGTCGTCGGCCCCGGGTTTATAGGGTTAAATGTGTAGATATTGGACTTTTAATTTTGTCGGTAATTGGTAGCTAGTTTTGTCGGTAATCGTTGGCCTCTACTCTTTTTTTTGTTGCTGTTTAATGGCGAAAGTAGGCACGTGCCCCCCCCCCCGGCCCTCCCCTCGCAGCATGGATCCTTGGTGCCACCTCACAAGCATAATAGGCCTATGTAACCGGCTCATCAAAACACGCTTGGCATTGCATTGCTATACTTCAACCGCGCATACAATTCATGTGCCTAATATTCTGTTATGAGAGTAAAAACATTATGGCCAAATTGTTAACACGAGACAGTGTCTTCTTCATAATATTTAGGTCTAATAATCCCGATACCAGTCACGTAGGCCTATTCAACGGTGATAGATTCAGCGTTCAGGTATAGTGATACCACTACTACTAATTAATATATTTTTTTACCCAGGGAAGTCATCAGCATCAAAGGTATTCTTCCTGAGGGCCCAGCAATTACTTGCCCCAGCAACTGCAGGTATATCCACTTACACCTGGGTGGAGAAAGGCAAAGGACGTTGGTGCATGCCAAGCTAGGATTCGAACCATCAACCTAGTAAGATTGGGAGTTAAATGAATTAAGCACTATAACGGCCACTATACACGAAACACCCACATGCCTATACATGCCCGCCCCTTTCTCCTCCCCCCCCCCCCCCTCCTTCTCCAGCCATGAATCCTGGATCCACCATAGTCAAATATTACGTCACCCCGAGCTTTAAAAGTTTTGCAAAGTTATTTAACAGGCCTACCTACAGTTATATCAATTTCTGGTATTATTTCCCAATGGGGGTTTGTGGTAGGGTCCATGATTTCCCTAGGTCACACGCATACAAACAGGGATTATGTAAGCACAAGTATAAATATGCATCTCTCTTAATTCGTTATTCAAGTGAAAGTGTATGTTTGCTGAGGAGTATTGATCCAGCCTCGCCCCATTGTTCAAACAAAATCTCGAGGAAGAGAGCAGCGCAGACTGGTACCAGATAAACCCAGTATATGTACGGCCAATGAGGAACAAATACTCTCAGCATTTATAAGGAGAGTGAGGAACTCTGCTTCTAGCATTTATGAAATAGTTCCTCGACCTGACGACTGCTACGGCCTAATTATGAGAGTATTGTGTCTTCTTCTCCTTCTCGGCTTTGCCAGCTTCTCATCGGCCCAAACCTTCGGGTTCCGTGGCTGTCCCAGAGTGAGCGTCGCTAGGGACTTCGACCTCGATCGCTACTTCGGTCTGTGGTCTTTAATTACGACGTCCTTCAGGAGTGATCTGACGTGTGTGACGGCGGAGTATCTACCAGGAGATGATGGTAGCATTCGTGTCATCAACTCGGGACGATCACAAGACGGAGATGTCACAAGTGATGAAGGGACTGCCTTTCAACCCGACCCAGAGGAGGGAGCAAAGCTGCAGATCCTGCTTTACAGAGGTAAGTGTTTTTTTAATAATGTTTACAATCTAATTTTATCTTATAAGATATAGATACATAACAACGTGAAATATGGATTTCTGACAAAAAAAAAATCACTTTCCAAAGGAGTGTGTTTTACACCTTGTTCCTCAAAAGTTTAAAATCTAGTATTACTAGTAAAAGAGAAAATGGAAATCACTAGGCCTTTTATATATATAATTGAATAAGACAGACTATACATGAAACATGGTTGCAACTCCGAGTTTCACGCCTTGCGAGCGATCGTCAGGCAACTGGTAGCATTATTATATATGTCACAACAACTTATGACAATGATGAATATTACAAATATCGAAGTACCGGTACGTAAAATTAACATTTTTTACAACTGCATATTATGATCATATTCAATTTTGAATAATATTAATGATATAGATCAATATAATATATACCGTATACCGTCCTTGATGATTGAATAAACTAATTTAGATATTACCCTAAATTATTTAAATAATCTTTCATATGAAAAAGACAATAAACAGAACAGGATGTGTTATCGAAGATCAACGAAATCTGTTTAAAATGTGATATTTGATTAATGTGTGATGTAATGATTATCAAGATTATCGATCTGAACTCTATAATATTCGTTATAATGTTCAAATTATCCTAATACTAATGATAACAATTTGATTGATATAGCCACGTGTAAAAACTAATGTATGTATAGATAATGTGTGGAAATATTATATGTTTACTATACCTCATTATTTTGTTTTTTACACTTTTTGTCGTGGTATTATTATTTACATGATTTACATGTTTATTGGATGTATCAATGATGTTACTGATGTTATTGATATGAATATTATTGTTACTAACAATAATAATAATAATAATAATAATAGCTAGTAATATAGCGCTTTTCAGGACCGAAGGCCCTCTCAAAGCGCTTTACAGATATATATATATATATATATATATTAATACTAATAATTACTATATTCCTATCTAATTATGCAGTAATAACCTATGATCTATACTTCTCTCGTCTTACAGGGCAAACACCACAAGATTATTGGTTCTCGATGTGGAATACGACAGCTATGCTCTTGTACACTCGTGTACAGAATACTTCTTTGGCTGGTTTAACATCCAGTCTAACTGGCTTCTCGCCCGTGATCGTATGCCATCCGAGGAAGTCATCGAGGGTGCTTTGAGGAAGTTCAGAGAACAGGGCCTCAACGTGCAAAACTTCAGGAGAACGAATCAGATGAATTGTGAGGAAGAACCACCACGCCCGTCAGAGGGGCCTGGCACTGAATGACCGCGTTCATCCGAAGTGCGGAACTGACAGACCACATCCCTCAAAGATTCCAAGAACTAACAGACCACTAACATAAGAATACCCACTAATATTCGACATTACTTGTTCCATGATGTTAACTTTTAATCAGAACAATAAATAACATAAAGGACAAATAATTAATTAGAATTTTTTTTTCTTCAAATCTTTAGATTCACTCTTATTCCTTTGCACATCGCAATGCTATTTAGCAATAACATTTTCTGAAAAGGAAACTGGTGTACCTTGTTATAAAATACTCTTCAATGGACGTCGGCCGTTGCCCCTTTTAAAACTATTTCAGCTGAAATTCATATAATGAAGTAGGCTCGTAATGTAAAAATTAAAAAATTAAAAAATTGTTGTTTTCCTATTTTAATTTTCGCTGGTATATATTATGTGATTATCATAACATTGTAATAAACAAATCATATTCACCAAGTAATTAGTACTGAATGATATTTTCTGTTCACGTTTCATACTTTAGCACTTTGATGAATCATGGTCACTTTAGCGTGATTTCTTAAACCAGAACTGAGGTCTGCCTGTAGCCACGGAAAGTTTCTATGACTATAAATACAACAATAAATGGATATTCAATAATATGTATTCTAACCTCAAAGGCAGAGAATAGACAAGAGAGAGATCGTTCAAGGGCTAAACAGATTAGATTAATTACGACGAATAGGGGAGTGAAAGATAGAAGAATGGAAATAAAATACCATGAAAGAATGACAAAGAAGAATACATTATTGTCTAGATAGTGAGAAAGGAGCAAGAGACTGATTTAGTAAGATAGAGAGAGAGAGAGCGAGAGAGAGCGAGAGGGGGAGAAAGAGGGAGGAGAATGGCTAGAGGAAAATATAGATATCGACATAATTATAGAGAGGAAAAGACGAATGGGAAAGAGAAAGTGAGAGACAGAGATAGACTGTCGAGAGGAAAGGATAGATGTCTATATAATGAGAAGGAAAGAACAGAGAGAGAGAGAGAGAGCAGAAAGATGGTGACAGAGAGAGAGAGAGGGGGGAACCTTGAGAGAAATAAAGACAATTTGAATTGCATGAAAGAGTGTGTATAGTTTGAAGAAAGAAAAAAACGAGGATAAAGGATAAAGGGTGAAGGATGCGAAAGAGTGGAATACGATAGAAAGTGAAAAGAGGGGTTGAGGGATGCAGCGTATATTAAGGAGATAGAAAAGAGCCAGAAAGAGAGAAAGCAGCTAGGCGTTGTGGCGTGCGCCTGTAATCCAGCTAACAGTGGAAGTTACAAACTAATTCAGCCGAGAACGCAGGTTCGAAACTGAGTCACGTTTTTCGGATGGTGACGTTAAAGGTCGGTCCCCAGACGTAAATAATCATATCTGATTGATACACGTCTGTAAAAACCCAATTACACACACACACACGCCAGAAAGAGATGAGATGGAAAACACAGAGAAATTTTATTTTATCAAATTGATCATTTATAAATTAGTTCAGTTTAATGATTAATCATGACCTAGAAGCAGTGTAGCTGAAATACAACCTGTCTTCTTATACACACAATGCATTGATAAAAACAAGGCCGAGGCAGATAGTTTATTTGTATTACGTCTATGGTTTATTTGACTTGGCACCACCTTCTCCTCGATCTAAAATTGAACGCATCGAAAAGGTAGTTTGTAGAATGTTGAGTGTCCTTCATTCTTCATTCTCATGACGTAATGACCGCTTGTCTGTAACATCTATCTTGTCATTCTGTGTTGTTTACATCTCTATACCACTGTGGCACCGCCCTACAAACACTTAGTCAATATGAAGAATGCCAGAGATACAGTGCTTCATTCACTTTAGTCTCAATTAAAACTGAAAAGGTTGAAGGTTCGAATATCTACCGGGTGCGTAAAATGTCCTTAGACGCGGCATCAGCTTAAGTACATCTCTCTCTCTCTCTCTCTCTTCTCTTTTTTGCTTTTCTCTCTCTCTCTATTTCTTTCTCTCGCTCTCTCTCTCTCTCTCTCTCTCTCTCTCTCTCTCTATTTCTTTCCCTCTCTCTCTTTCTCTCTCTCTAACTCTCACATGAACCACAAGCCCTTCTATTTATCTAGGAATAAATATACAAAATATAAAGATATAAAAACTAGGGTTGCATTTCCCGGAGAAAATAATTAAATGGAGAAAATTTCGGGCGAAACTTGTTTTGTTTTGCTCCTACCATGCACAATTGATGCACAGGACCGGCGAACTAATGTTTCTGAGTGAAAATCGCTCCCCCACTTTCTTACAATCCTGGATCCCCCTTCCCTTTTTTTAAAAGTTCATTACTCCCCTGCCTGCAAACAGGCGAGTGGTGAGGGGGGGGGGCGGCGGTAATGACGACGATCGCATTATCTAAACTTTGCTCCTTTTGGCCTCAGACAACAATACCGAAAAGATTTGCAATAGTGTTTCGTTAAATTACCGTGAAAGCTTGAGCTAGTCTCGTGGGTAGTATGTACTCGTGTTAGTGTACGAGGCTGTTAGTGGTGCCTCTGATTTTAAATTGATATTCAAACAGTGAAGGGAATACGATGCGAGTTTTCATCGCTCTTTTCATCCTCACCCTAGCCAGGTATTCTTCGGCTCAGGTATATGGCTACGGCAGGTGTCCCGACGTCCGACCCGTCGACGATTTCGATGTCCACCGCTACGCCGGGCGCTGGTACGAATTTGCTCGGTTCTACGACGCTCCCGAGGAAAGTTTTCGGTGTCAAACTCAAAACTACACTGTGAAAGCTGACTATCTCCTAAGCAATGAGTCGGGAGTTGATTCGTATGGACAGGGCTACTCGTTTCTCGTACGAATTTATAATCTATCTGAAGGAACACAGGCATACTATGTAAGTATTACAGGCTTCACTTCAAAAGAAATTATCTTTACAGCATTGTATATTATAAGCTAAATAGGCCTTTGAGAAAAATTGCCCGTTGCTTAGTGAGTGAGGCCAAGTGCCAAATTTACAGAAATTATAAATAAATTCAACATGCATAGAAAAGTGTCTTCCTACATAAGTGACGTAGCTGATGGGGTTGCATGGGGACGCGTGCCCCCCCCCCCCCCCCCATCGAGTGGTAAAAGAAAGGCAAGGCGAAAGAGTGAGAAACAGAGAGAGGGAGAAAGAGAGTTAGAGATGAAAAGGACGAGAAAAACAGACCCCTCCCTCGCCCTTCCAGGCTCCCCTAATCAGTAGCCTTGTTACGAAATTCACATTCCATTTTCCGAGTAGGGCCGGTCCTGTCCACCCCGATCATCTCCCCACCCCCATCAGTGGATGGACTCATACTACGCCGCGCCACTTTTATAAATTTAATTTCTATTTGCCAAGTTTCAAATCTTCATCTTTAGTCGATAACCAAATGAAAATATAATGCTACTGGCTCCTTTCTTTAATCATAATTGTCGAGTTTTAAAGTTCAAAAAGTTTTACAAGATTACTCATATTATGGTGAAGCATCTTGATTCTTTCCTCAATGTTTGTCTCTATTTTTTTAATTTTCAGACTACTCTAGCGAAAATCCTGTCAAATTCATAGTACCGTTTGTTGACTATGGGAAATATAGCATCAACCACGTCTGCAAAGAGTATCTACGAGGTCTAATCAACATCCAGTACAACTGGATCATCACCCGTGATCGTACGATGTCAGAAGCAGACTACGATGATGTCATGCGGTACCTCGACTCGGTGGGCATCAACGCGAAGGAATTCAAAAGGGCGGACCAGCGAGACTGTCCTAACTACCGCGACGATCGAGTTTCGAGTCGAATGGACGAACGCGACGTCGTGCGCACACTGTACAGTTGAACTGAAACTGAAATTTCGTAAAGGGCACAGTTTTTTTCCGAAACTAGTACACTGTTAGTAGTATGACGTACAATGCCAAGAAATAATTGAATAAAGTACATGTACTGAATTCTCTGAATAGCTTATGTTTTCCTTCTATATATTCCCTGTCTTATTGATTTGTTTTCCATTTTCAACCCGTAAAATAATGTATGAACACGTACCCCCCCCCCCCCCCCCCCCCCCCCAGTAAATCAATATCGGTAAAATAATATAACATCCGTTTTTGTGTTTTTGTTTACTGTTCGGTTCGTTAGTTGTTTGAGTAAGAGATTGGGCGGTTGGTTGGCTGTTTGGTTAGTATGTTGGCTGGTTGACTGGTTGGTCGGTGGGTTGGTTGGTTGGTATGTTGGTTGGTTAGTATGTTGGCTGGGGGACTGGTTCGTCGGTGGGTTGGTACCATGTTTGGTTGGTTGGTATGTTTGTTGGTTGTCTTGACTGGTTGGTCTATATGGGTTGGTTAGTGTGTCGGCTGGTTGACTGGTTGGTCGGTGGGTTGGTTGGTTGGTATGTAGGTTGGTTAGTATGTTGGCTGTTGGCTGTTAGTATGTTCGTCGGTGGGTTGGTACCATGACTTGTTTGTTTGGTTGGTTGGTATGTAGGTTGGTTAGTATGTTGGCTGGGTGACTGGTTCGTCGGTGGGTTGGTACCAGGTTTGGTTGGTTGGTTGGTATGTTCGCTGGTAGCTGGTTGGTCTATATGGGTTGGTTAGTGTGTCGGCTGGTTGACTGGTTGGTCGGTGGGTGGTTGGTTGGTATGTAGGTTGGTTAGTATGCTGGCTGGGTGACTGGTTCTTCCGTGGGTTGGTACCATGTTTGGTTGGTTGGTATGTTCTCTGGTTGACTGGTTGGTCTATATGGGCTGGTTCGTGTGTCGGCTGGTTGACTGGTTGGTCGGTGGGTTGGTTGGTTGGTATGTAGGTTGATGTGATGGTTAGTTGGTTGGTTGGTATGATGGTTGTTGGTCGGTTGGTTGGTTGGTACCAGGCGCGTACGCACCTTAAAAAAGGTGACCTTACCTACCCCCCCCCCCCAATGAAACGAAATATCGATCGGCCAAATTTTGGGTAAAAAAAAAATGTGCTCTGGTCGGTCGGTGGGTTGGTTGCAATGTTTGGTTATTTGGTTGGCTCGTTGATATATTGGTTGGTTTGTGTTGAATATAGTCAATTGAATGGTTAGTCGGTGTGTTTGGTTGATTAATTAATAGATGTGAACTTATAGATTGATTTTCCGATTAATACTTGGAAAAATAACCAACACACCTGCATGGTAAATGTAAACGGCTTTACATGTAAATTCTCATCTTTCCTAAACATTCAGGCTATATCTATAAGCATAGGCCTATAGCTATAATTAAATGAGGTGTTAGGACCACATTTTTGGATAAGGTGGCTGACATTTTTCAAACAAGAAATAAAAAGTCATCAGAGGGTTGTGTGTGTGTGTTGTGTGTTTTTTTGGGGGGGGGCGGGGGGTTACATCCCAACTACCCCTCCCGAGTCGCCCCAGGGTTTTCTCTCTTTGACCTCGTATAACAAAAAGTACGATCGGTCAGTGATTATGAATGGACAACTAAGATGATTTATTATATTATGCAACATTACATAACAGTGGAAGTGTATTAAGGTGGAAATAAGCATTTTGTGTTGTAATACAAGGCTAAAACGTAGTTATTTTATGCAAACGTGTTTCGTGTGTCGTGATTACAGACGGAGGGAATTTCAGCGATGAGTTGTGTTATGACATCGTAGTCTTATCTAGACCCAGGCGCGTACACAGGGGGGGGGGGGGGGTGTTTGGGGTTAAACACCCCCTTTGGTATTTGTATGTGTGTAAACCACCCCATAACCCCCCTAAACCCCCCCCCCCCCCCCTTTGGATTGTTTTCTTTTTTTTAAATTTATTTAAAAACAAAAAATTTATATATATATTCTCATGGCTGACCTAAAAAAGCTGACCTAACCCCCCCCCCCCCCCCGCTTATTCAGCGGCTGGCTGAGTCGTTGCGAAATTTTCGGCCCGATTTATAAATATTAAACCCCCCCCCCCCCCCACCCTTGAAAAATCCTGCGTACGCGCCTGTCTAGACCTATCTCTGGACCTCCGCTCTCGTTTTTCTTTTTAATTACACGGTTATAGAATACTCAAGACAGTCACGTACATCATGCGAGTCATCGCCGCTATCATCTTTCTCACCTTAGCCGTGTATTCCTCATCGCAGGTCTTCGGCTACGGCCGATGCCCCGACGTCCGACCCGTCGAAGATTTCGATGTCCACCGCTACGCCGGGCGATGGTACGAAATCGCCAGGTTCTACGCTAATTCTGCCGAACAAGGTTTACGGTGCGAAACGGAAAACTATACTGTGATGGATGGCTATTGCTCAGCAACGACTCGGGAATCGATGCGTCCGGCAGGGTTTACTCGCATGTGGTGAAAATTTACAATGTATCTGAATGGAATATAGGTTTACTATGTAAGTATACACCTCTCTTCACTACAGTTTACAAAATTGTACAGATTTTAGAAAGAAACCAAGAACAAGTTTCATGGATCTCTTTTTGAATGGCAATATATGGAATATCACCAAATCATTTTGTAGGCTGAATGAACGACGGACTGCAGCCTTCAGCCTTCAGATTTTCAGATTTGTCGACAAAGATTAGGAATTTTTCCGACGCCCCCTCCCCCCGACTTTATGCCAATTGCCCATGAAATACTACTCCGAGAAAACTCCCTGCTCCCCCCCCCCCCCCCCCCACCGAAGAAAAAAAACTATGGAGAGAACCTGCCCCCCGAAACTGCCCCCATAAAACCCCTAGAGACTTGCCCAAGAAAACTACCCCAGAAAATTGCCCTCTCTTACAATTAACGCCCGGATTGACAGCTACCCAGCCCTTAAGCCAATTACCCCCTCTAGATGTCCGAGAGAGTATCGGGGGGGGGGGGGGGGATTTGTGCCCATTTCGTCTCTATATATGTTTTCTCTTTTATTTTCAGATTATGAAAGCGAACATCCGGTTAAATACTGGGTACCATTCGTTGACTACGAAAGGTACAGCATCAACTACGTCTGCAAAGAGTATTTACGAGGCCTCATCAACGTCCAACGTGGATCATCGCCCGTGATCGTAAGATGTCGGAAGAAGACTACGATGACGTCATGCGGTACCTCAACTCCGTGGGTATCAACACGATGAAGTTAGAGAAAGCGGAACAGCGAAACTGCCGCGATGATCATTAATTTCTCAGCATATTAAATTAAAATATGAAAGCCTTTACGAGATGTAAAGCCTCATGAAAAACAGTCCACAAGATAAGGGGACCGACGGCCCACGAGACCGATAATTAACGTCGGTCTTTTAATAGGTTCCTCACATTCTTACTCAATCTATTATATTAATTAAGAATCATTGAGACGTGCTCACATATCCTACATGTATTGTATAATTTTTATTTTATATGTATGTCTAAATTTTTTGTAAAATGTGGAACAAATAAACTTAAAAACCTTTATAAAAGTTGTAGGAGGACCCACAGAATGATAAAACGATGCCTGTCGGTGTCGCGGGGAATCGGTCCTATGGGCTGTAGCCTCGATATCCGCACGGACCTGACAAACCCAAGATACAATGAAGATAGGGCTTGATACTGAACATCAAATGGTATACAAGAGGCTAAATGCAACCGATTATTATAGCAACAACAACAAAACAAAAAAACAGTATTTTTATCACGGAATATTTTATCAAATATTAAATTCTTGGAATGTTATGTTTTACTTTTGAAAGTTTGATATTTTATAGCTGAATGAGTTCACATCTAAACTTTGTTTACACTCCCCTTGAATGAATGAATAAATAATAATAATAATAATAATAATGATATTGGATATTTATATAGCGCACATATCCACCATGCATGGTGCTCAAGGCGCTCCAACTATTACCCCGGTTCTGCTAGTTTTCGGCGCTCACAGCATTCAATGAATTCCTTCCTACCGGTACCCATGTAAAACCTGGGAGAGTGGCAAATGTAGATTAATATCTTGCCAAAGGACATTAGTGCCGTGGCGGGACTCGAACCGCGCGGACCCTGTGATCCACAATCCGACGACTTATCCACTAGACCACTAGACCACAACACCACAACACCTCTAATAAAGGAATGATTGAATAAAAGAATGAAAGAATGAATGATCGATTGAGAGAAAGAATGAGTGGGTATATGCATAAATAAATGCATAAATGAATGAACGAAAGTGAATGTACAAAACCTATTTTCCCTCGCTGAATATTTTGCCTGTTTTTTAACTGTAGGCATTATCTTTGAAAGGAATTTGAGAAAAGGGTGAACTGTGGGCTCTGCCCCTGCAACCCGACAAAGTTAGGCCCTAAAGCTAGATAGGGTTTACAAGATCACCTTTGTTCTATAAAATTGTCCTTAGGACAGAGAGAGAGAGAGAGAGAGAGTGTGTGTGTGTGTGTGTGTGTGCGTGTGTGTGTGTGTGTGTGTGTGTGTATTTTGTAAATTGTATTTTGAAGAATTATTTGTATTGTTTTGTTATTGAATGAAATTAAAATAAAAGGAAAGAAAAAGTGAAAATGAGAGAGAGATATTTGATTCCAACGAAATGGAAAAATATATAAATTTAGAGGCATTATATTAGGCTTTCTATCGCTCAAGACGACTATCTTGAAGGTTCCGAATTGCTTAAACTCGAGAGCGTCTTGAAAGCGGCTCTAAGGCGACTCCTGGATCCCATCCAAGACAACATTTTCTTCTATAAATACACGTATGACGGAATTATTCTTAGGAGAGAGTGTGGGTGAGAGAGAGAGAGAGAAATATTGATTTAATAAGAAGCAATAGGCATTATGGAGGCGTCTGGGAGCTCGGCCCCTGGAACCCCGGCAGCGCTCTGCCCCAGTAACCCACATGGAGCCCAAAGCGTGCCCCTGGACCCATCCGTAAAGATCCCAAGACAACCATTATTTGTCGTATAAAATTGTCCTTATGACAGAGTGTGTGTTTCTATTGGTCAAGACGGCTGGCTACCTGTCTCTTGAAGGTTCTGATCGAATTGATAAAACTCGAGAGCGTACAAGTTGGCTTCACACCCCCCCCCCCTATTTTTGGAAAACCTGGATCCGCCGCTGAATTGATATATTGAGTGATTGATTGATATTTTTGTTATGATCAAGGGATTGATAAATGGATGACTTCACTGATTAAATGATATATTGAGTGATTGATTGATATTTTTGTTATGATCAAGGGATTGATAAATGGATGACTTCACTGAATGATTAGTTGGTTTGTGGTTACATGATTAATTCGGTGGTTGAACGCTTTGGTGATAATTGATTTATAGATATTGAAAAAATATCTTAACTTATTGGTCAACTGATTTATTCAGTAGAAAGTTTCACAAGCTCTTATGTTTATTTTGCTGCAAGCGGCGAAGGGCGAGTGTTGATGCTGCCCTGTGCTGGATACACGAATTGTAGGGCTATAAAGATGGACAATAAGCTAGTCAGTGATCTAATATTATTTTGCTCCTTTTGATCTTAGACAAAATAAGGTCAGTCGGTGCAGTTGACTACAGTTTCGACAATTACGTAATATTTTAAACATTCAATTGTATCCATATTGACACTTTTTGCGGTGAAAGTATATTCTGGTGGAGAGTACCAGAGATGAGTAGGGCTCACTCCCAGTGACACCCCAATTATGCAAACAAAGACAGACAATGGAGATGGTGATGTGACGGTGAGGTCTTTTTATATTCATCCCTCCATCTCCGCTCACCTAATTTAGTTGGTGTTATATGCGCCCTGTTTTCATCGTTAGCTCCCTGACAGTCTCGATCCCTGTATCACCATGAGAACGCTCGTTGTCTTCGTCCTGCTCACCCTAGCCACGTTCTCATCGGCCCAGGTTATCGGCTTCGGCGGATGCCCCGACTTCAGACCGGCCGTCGAGTTCGATTTAAACCTCTACGCGGGGCGCTGGTACGAAATCGCCCTGTTCTACAACGCCCCCAAGAGGGTTTGCGATGTCAATCTAGCAGTTACACGGTGAAAGACGGATATTATTTCTACACCAATGAATCGGGAATTGATCCTTACGGCAACGCCTATTCATACCAGATCCCAGTTTACAGGTCAGGAGCGGACCCCAACAACGTGACGATACTGTGTAAGTAAAACATATAAACTTTTGAGGAAAAAAAAAACATCCCCATATAAACTTTTGAGGAAAAAACCCATCCCCCACAAAAAAAGGGGGGGGGGGAGAGAGAAAGGGAAAACTTAAAATATATCTAGCGCAAATTTTTAAGAAACCAATTGATAATTATAAGAAGGTTGTGATAACATGAGTCTATTGTAACATTGTCAGGTTTTCTCCTTTACCACTGTCACTAAGTTTTTACAATGGACCCTAAACTACTTACAAGGGCGTCGTAAGAATTTAAAGGAGGGGATCTGACTTTCACACAATTATATAGGGGCGACAAGTTTTCCGACAGAGAAGCTTAGGCGAACAAAAAAGAAGAGGAGTCTTTAGAATATTAATTGTAAAAGAGAAGAAAGTGAAGTAAACAATTAAAACAATTATTTAAAAACAATGCATAAAACAAAGTGCCTCAATCCTTGTGTTTTGGGGAACAGGGATTTAAAAAATGCTCATCCCAAACAAGTGTCTTAAAACTTGTGATTTACCAACAAGGGTTTAAAAAAAATTAGACCCGATTTGTGTCACATGTTACAACCCTGATAAACCAGTCTCCAATTCTCTCTCTCTCTCTCTCTCTGTCTCTCTCTCACTCTCTCTCTCTCTCTCCCTCTCTCTGTCTCTCTGTCTGTCTGTCTCTCTCTCTCTATCTCTCTCTCTCTCCCTCTATCTCTCTCTCTCTCTTTCTCTCTCACTTCAGATTATGCCAGTGAAACGACTCCAGGTGAATTCAAGGTTGTCTTCGTCGACTACCAAAGCTACGCCATTCTTCACGACTGCAACGAGTACCTGTGGGGGTTCATGAACGTCCAGAACAACTGGATCATCGCCCGTGATCGTACGATGTCGGAAGACGACTACGACGACGCCCTCCGGTACCTCGCCTCAATGGGCGTCAACGTGAGGAAGTTCAAGAAGGCGGACCAGGAGGATTGCCCCGTCTACCGAGACGTACCCGAGCAGCATGGGTGTCGATCCCGGGGGGGATGGGGGGGGATATATCCCCCCAATATTTCAGGTGGGGGGATGGCCTGTACAATCATCCCCCCCCCCAATAATTCACCATCAAAAAATCAAAAAAAAATGAAGAGAAAAATTAAGGATGAGAGCCCGATGAGAGTAGTTAATGGTTATTACTCGCAAGATGACCATCAATATACACATTTTGCTATCTCATTTTCATAATACATACATACATGTATATACGAAGTAAATAAGGCAACCGTAAATGAGACAAGAATAAATTGAATTCTCGCTCATATGGCTTCATCAGGAATTGATGTATTTATTCAATTTGTTCAATCAAGTACACGATACAATGAAGCGTCTTCTTTTACGAATAATTTAATGAAACGTAAAAGCTTCCGCGGAATGGGCGAAAAGGAATACAGACGAGGATTAAGAGTAATAATTTATTGAAACGTTAAAGCTTCCGCGCTTCGCGCGGTAGGGGAGAAACTGAGTTCTTGAAGGACACGATACAACAAATCATTTTCTTTCACTAATGTGAAAGCTTCCGCGCTTCGTGCAGGAATGGGCGAAAATGAATTCAGACAAGGATTAAGAGACGAGAATGGTACACAGGATCGTCTTCTTTCTTTAATAATCTGATGAAAAGTCAGAACTTTCGCGCTATGCGCGGAGGAAGGGGATCTTGATTCAAACAAGGATTTAGAGTCGAGAACGGTCCGACGAATCGTCTTCTTTCTCTTACAATTTAGTGAAACGTCAAAGCTTCCGCGTTTCGCGTGGTAGGGGAGAAACTGAATTCATGAAGGACACGATACAACAAATCGTCTTCTTTCTCTAATGTTAAAGCTTCCGCGCTTCGCGCAGGAATGGGCGAAAATGAATTCAGACAAGGATTAAGAGACGAGAATGGTACATCGAATCGTCTTCTGTCTTTAATAATCTAATGACACGCCAGAGCTTCCGCGCTACGCGCGGAGGAAGGGGAACTTGATTCAAACAAGGATTAAGAGTCGAGAACGGTCCAACGAATCGTCTTCTTTCTCTAATAATTTAGTGAAACGCCAAAGCTTCCGCACTTCTGGGGGGGGGGGGAACTCCCCCTCCCTGCACGCAACCCCCTAGGGACCACGCTTCGCGTGCTCACTACCGCCCCCTGAAATGAAATCCTGGCTACGCGCTTGGGAGGGGTGCAACTTGCCACACGCTTCTACCTCTTGATTGCTTTGATCCATTGCCGAAAATATTTTGGCACCTATCATCCCCCCCAACCACGGATACAAATCGACACCCTTGCCGAGCAGGATGAAGATCCCGAGAACGAGGACGAGCCGAGGAAGTAAATACATGTAGAATAGCTTACTTCCGTTTGGTTGTACGACACAGGCTCCGGTGATAATTGCTATGCGATCAGCAGCCTACACTATCCGAATCATTACCTTCACCCTCGGATCAAACATTATAGGATTTCCTAACCCTATAACCTTAAGCCCACCTGCAAACACAACCCTAACCTTATATCTTTGACTCAATAAAACCTGAAGTATGTGTCGGAACATTTGTAAACAAGTAAATCATTTCTATCCGGAATTAATTAATATCAAATCAAACGGTTTTTCATCCATTGAATTAATGATGCTATTTTTTTTAAATAGTTAAAAAGAAAAACTAAATATTTGTGTAGACATGACCATTAAAGTTAATTGAGAATAAATAGCCTTCTTCATAAAGTTTTTATAATAAAATATTATATGTCAAACAAGGAGACTTTAAAATATCGCTTGTTTGCATTTTTTTATAAATCATACTTTATATATGAATGATTGAAATTAAATTATTCTGTTGAACTATATAATTTGACTGATTTGCTACTTCAACTGATCGATTAATCGAATGATTAGCAGGTTAATGATTGGTTGGTTGATGGTAAATTTAATACCTGGGTAATTGATTGAAGCGTTTTGTTGATGATTTTATTTAGTGATTGGTGGATTAATTAATTGTTTGGTTGATTGGTTAGTTGACTGATTGATTGTTTGATTGATTCATTCATTGGTTGGTTGGTTGAGCCATTGGTCGAGTGGTTGATTGATTGGTATTGGTTTGTTTATCAGTTGGTTGATTGGTTGACAGGTTGAGCGATTGGTTAGTAGATTGTGACCCCAAAACTGCTATGGATTAAAGCTTATCTGCCATAGTTTACAGGAGGGATTAGAGCGCTCTGCAAGGTCACTGGACAGGTGGTTATCTCATCAACTCAGCTCTCAGTTAACATAAGAAAAAGAGGATCATGGGGGACCAATGGTCACCGATTAGGCATTGGTTGTTATATAGAGGGCGCAAGTAGCTACAAGTAGTGCAGTGTGCCTTTAAAAGAACTTGCCGGGTAAAACTTTGTGTTTGTTTGGGAGTTGGAGAGAGGGATAATATTATGTAGAGGACATAACATGCTTGGTTATATAAAACAACAAATATAACAAATAAAACAACCGACACTAGCTGACAGGTTGACATTTGTAAGGTTAAACCATGGACATTCGAGCTAGGCGAGCCGCTTAGTAAGTTTGACAATCGAACAGCAATAAATGATGTGCCTAAAATTATGAAATGCTAACAAACAAACAATGACCGACACGTTTCAATCCTCCCCTATATCGTGGTCATTGCTCTGTAAGCCTTGATTTGTATCATAATATTATACATGCGCTTTTCAAAGAATATTAGGATGCGATCTTTAGAGGGAGGGGTTGAAGAGTTGTTTTGGGGGTGGCTTGAGCCCCCTACACGGTCTAGAGCCCCTTACTGGTACCACTTTGTACCTGCATATCACCATCATGTCATCATAAACCAGTCAATAGTACCTTTTCTTTTCATCTTTGTTTCCTTATAATCATGTTGGAATATTTTTCTCTCTTTGAAAGACATCGACACTTTCTGTCACAAAAGTGATTATGTGTACCTCCATATAGAGTAGTGAAGTGTGACGTCATCTTAAATCTAGTTTTAGAATTTCTCAATAATTTTCTTCATTATTTTTGATGCTCTTTCGGAAAATGAAGAAAAAATTAAGAAATTCTTTAAAAAAATAAAAAATAAAAAAAAAAAAAAAAAATTATGACGTCACAGCTTCGGTACTCGGTTCCATTTGTTTGCTAAAATGTCCTTTGAATTTACCTGGTTTCTTAATTTACGTCAGCGTCCTATTGATTATTACGTAACCACTATTTGACATCATACTGAGCGATGGAATGCACATTTATTCCTGTTTATTTGGTAAAGCCTTCAAGGAAAATGACAAGAGGAAAAGAAAACAGAATTTAAAGAGGCGATGTGGTGTAAGGGGGACATTGGTTGGGCGGGATCGCCTACTTAAATTCGCCGGAAGACATGTTCTCAATATTTTGGACAGCTTAAACGGAGACGTTACCTTGATCAAGCCACAACAGAAAAACTAGTTTATGTATTTATTACGAGTCGTATTGACAATTGTAACAGTTTGTTGTTTGGTTTACCAGAGTCTCTCAATAGGGACTTTTAGATTCGCACGAAGACAATGGGGATTGCTACGATCGACGTCCTTTTAATGCACTGCTTTGAATGGACGTCACACGTATCAGTCCACGCAAATCTAAAAGCCCCTAATAAGGTCCAAAGAGTACAAATTTCTGCAGCTAGACTTGTCTCACAAAAACTTTAACGAAATCACATTACTTCTGTATTTTATGATTTACATTGGATACCTGTAATCGTTGTTAAACTCTTAACAATTGCATAAATGTAAACACAATGATGCTCCCATGTATTTGCAAAATAGTATTTCAAGCCATCGATCAACTCCCAATATCTGTTCATCTTCAAAACATTTATTAAATCTACCCAAAATATATGGGCACCTCAATTTTGTAATTGATTTGATAATTGTAAGTGATTAACGGGGAAAGCTCAATGTTTTTCATGTCTTTCCTCTTCTCTCTCTCTCTCTCTCTCTCCTCTCTCTCTCTCTCTCTCTCTCTCTCTCGTATCTAAGCGCATAAAGAAAATTATTAAATATAATATATTATATAAAGGAATTGAATTATTATTATCATTATTATTATTGTTATTATTACTATTATTATTATTATTCATTATTCCACCCACCGTTCTCAAAATCTACTAAATGTACCTTTACATAAATGTGTGTGCCATTTGTCAATCTCTTTCTTTATTTCTGCCATTCTGTCTATATCTTCTTAAGTATGGTTACTGTCAACTTTTCTGCAAATCTCTGTATATTTATTATACATTCTTATACAATTTGGATTTTTCCTTCTGCATCTGTTTAGAAAAACTTCATTACAAATTCTCGTATTTTTTTTTACACATATCCCATTTTGTTCTTGCATTCATTCGATTATGGTTAGACGTTAGAGCTTGTATGACGTTTTTAATTTTGTTCTTAGAATCAATGTCACATATAGCAATGAGTTATTAAACTTCCAAAGACCTTTCTCCCTTTCAACGCTATCTGTTTTCAATCTTAATCAGGCGCGTACGCAGGATTTTTTCAGGGGGGGGGGGGGGGGGGGGGGGTTTTAACATTTATAAATCGGGCCGAAAATTTCGCAACGACTCAGCCAGCCGCTGAATAAGCGGGGGGGGGGGGGGGGGGGGGGGGGGGGGGGGGGGGGGTAAGAGGACACATTTTTTTTTTTTTTGGTCTCGAAATTTGAAAATTTGACATTTTGCTCCGTTGGGGGGGGGGGTAAGGTCAGCTTTTTTAGGTCAACCATGAGAATTTTTTTTTTTTTTTTTTTTCAATAATTAAAAAAAAAAAAAAAAAAAAAAAAAAAAAAAAAAATCCAAAAGGGGGGGGGGGGGGGGGGGGGGTTTTAGAGAAATTTAGGGGGGTTTACACACAAAAAATTACCAAAGGGAGGGGTTTAACCCCCCAAACACCCCCCCTGTGTACGCGCCTGATCTTAATGATACATCACAGTGATCATATTGATGGCAGGTCTAATATCGGTAGTTTAGACATAACAATACAGTGACGATGAAATAAGCCAATAATCGAGTCTAGAATAGATTCCTAACGATAGTTGTCGTAAATTGCTTTCCTTGTGCGTTCATTTTCCGCCATATACCCCAATAAGTTTGAATTTATTTGGATGTTTTGTAACTACTTAATTGATTTGTATACCTGTGACCAGGCGCGTGGGCAGGATTTTTTCGAAGGGGGGGGGGTAAGATTTGAAAATCGCGCCGAAAATTTCGCAACGGCACAGCCAGCCGCTGAATAAGCGAGGGGAGGGGGGGGGGTAAGAGCAACTCCCCTCCAAAACACACACACACAACAAAAATTGAGGGGGGGAGGTTCGACCCCGAACACCCTCCCCCCCCCCCCCCCCCCCCCCCCCCCCCCCCCCCCCCCCCCCTCCGCTTTCGCGCCTGCCTGTGACCAACCTGGGGTATCAAAATGAGGATCTTTTACACAGTTCCAATCACCTCCAAATATAAGTAAATCGTCTTTGTGCTTAATACATTTTATCCAGTTGAACATCTTTTTGTAAAAACAACTCTTTTCTGATTTTACAGTCGGAGCATATACATTTAGCACAAAGCATATCTTCCTTCTGTATCTAAATATAACAGCAACAGCTCTTCCATCAAAATTTACAAAACTATCAAGCAATTCTATATCATTCTTTATCCTGATTATAATTACAAGGCCTTTAGAGTGGTTAGTGCTATGGAGGAAGAAAGAAAGGGCGCCACATTCTGATTTAAATGATGTTTCTAGCTCAGAGGTTAACAAAATTTGTTGCAATAAAATGATGTTTTCTTTTCGAAACGATAGCCATTGGCAGTGGCGTACGTTGACCTAATGACATTCCGTTCCGTTGGGGGGGGGGGGGGAGGTCATTTTTGTTAGGTCATCCATTAGGATTTTTATTTTTTTTTAATTATTTTAATTAAAAAAAATCACAACTCGAAAGGGGGGGGGGGTTCCCAAAAAACATACACATAAAAACAACTGAAGAGGGGGGGGGGGGGTAACCCCCCCCCCCTGCGTACGCGCCTGGCCATTGGCATTGTTAGAATTTTAACTCCATCCTTCCAACCTTTTTTATAAATAAATAAAGAACTATATGTTCCAGGTTCCAAAATTTATATAAGTTTTGTTATAAATTAGTTACTTTAGTTGAATGATTAATTGATGACTAATTTATTGGTTATTTGTTTTATTTATTGTTATCCTTGTAATATACGATCGGCGATCGGCTTATAAAAGTCATGGGGTTTCTGATTGACCTAAAGGTTTATAATTATCATTGCAGCATGAGCTAAATCCAGGATTTTGTTTCAGAATCTGTGACAAAGTTACCGGATCCCTTTAAAGCACAATCTCGAAATGAAAGAATTGACACCTTCGACATGTTACTTCATGAGATAAACTATCAATGAGAGAAAACGGAGAGATCGACTGTAAAAGAAAAGTTGAATAAAAAAATGCTCACAGTTACTATTCGTTTAAGCCCTTATAAAAAAGTACCATTGTAACCATGTTTTTTTGTCCAAATTACCATCCACCTTGGTAACCATAGTAATCATGGTATCAAACACTGAAATACATCGTTTGATGACCCTATGTTTATCATTGTTTGATACCATGGTAACCATGGTGGATGGTAAGTTGGACAAAAAAAAACATGGTTACCAGGGTATTTTTTTTATAAGGGGGGGGGGGGGGAGGGCACATATGAGGGGGCTATGAGATGAGGGATGGTGACAACATCTTGTCAAATAGCACGTTCAGTAATTATATCTCAGTCTTTTTTATTGAACATGAATAACATTTGGAAATGTACATGAAGTTTTTCCTCGGGTGTGAAAACTCCTATAAAGTATAGACCTGTATATTCTTGAACTTTGAGCAATTGATTACCCTGCCTAGAGAAGGGATGTTTGATAGTTTTGAAACTAGATATGGCACTTTAGATGACTGCAAAAGAGCACAATTTGTAAGCGACAGTGAAAATACAGGTACAAAAGGGCACTTATCAAAGGGCAATTACATCAGAAGTAACATTAGCAAGTAACAGTAACAGATGCGAAAAAGGAACATTATAGGAAAGGGAAGGGGCACTTTAAGAAAGTAAAAATGGGCTCTTATCAGAAGGGAGAAGTGCACCTGTCAAAATAAAAGGGGTACTTATCAAAGATGAAAGGGGCACTTATCAAAGATGAAAGGGGCACTTATCAAAGACGAAAGGGGCACTTTCTCATAATTGAAAATGCACTTATTACAAAGAAAAAGAGGCCCTTGTCAAAGTGAAAAGGGCACCTATCAGATGTGGATAGGGGCACTTATTAGAGGTGAAAAGGGACATTTATAATAAAGGGGACAAATATTTGCTACAAAAGGTTCTCGCACCCGAGGTGAAAAGGGGCATTTGTCAAAATAAAAGGGCACCTATCAGATTAGAAAAGGGGCACTTATCAGAGGTGAAAAGGGGCACTTATGATAAGAGGGAAGGAGCTTATAGAAAGAAAAAGGGCACTTATCTGAAGTTAAAAAGGGGTCTAATGGGATATTTGTTAACATTGGGGGAAGGGGCATTGTGGCCCCTACCCCCCCCCCCAACCCCAGTGTGCTGCCTCTGCATCGTTATCATCACCACCCCAACCACCACCATCCTCATCATAGTTGCTACCCTTGTCATCAACATTATCATAATCATCATAATCATCACCATCATCAATATCATCATTATCTTCCCCTTCATCATTATCATCATCACTACAATCATCAGACTCACAGCTTTTATGACCTATACACCATTATTCATTGTCATCAATACCTACCATCAATGACTTTACCACAAAAAGACAATCATCACCATCATCATCATCACCATCATCAAAATAATCACCATCATCATCACCATCATCATCACCATCAAAATAATCACCATCATCAACATAATCACCATCATCACCATCATCACCATCATCATCATCACCATCATCACCATCATCATCATCATCATCATCACCATCATCAACATAATCATCATCATCATCATCATCATCATCATCGTCATCATCACCATCATCAACATCATCATCACCATCATCAACATAATCATCATCATCATCATCATCAACATCATCACCATCATCATCATCATCATCATCATCATAATCAAGCTCTCCACAACATCTATAAATCCCTGATTTTGACTGCCAATAAAAGCCAACACAAAATTTCAGTCACAACCTCGACATTTTAGAAAACAATTCAATACACTAATGTCTGCCTTGGAAATCATTCTCGTAACCCACGTAAGGGTAATTTATTGTCTTCAACACATTGCTCAATAACCATCTCTATTCACCCTACGTGAAGGCCTATAAGTTAGTTCATTTAAGTAATGCTTCATTTTCTGATCAATACTTTAAATAGGTTGGGTTCACTATTCAATCTTACCTGAATCGAAAGAGAGAAAGAAATGAAAGGGGAGAGAGACAGAAAGAGAGAAAAAGCGGCAAGATTTTTGTATGGTGCATATTAACAAAGAAAAGATATAAAAAGGTAGAGGAATTTTCAAAAGGGAAAATAAAAGAATTTGTTCAAAGTTCCACGTTGGGTGAAAACGGAAATCTAAGATTGCATAATCTTATAAGTGCACTAAAGAAATGATAACATATAATATTATTACATATAGTCAGCATTACTGAATACAAAATATCTGACATAATGAAATATACATTACAAGAGTAAATATAAACAAAATATGTACATAAAATTACAATTGCCTATAGGATAGCAAAGAGAACACAAATATTGAAGTACACGAGGAAGATTATTTTTGTGACCAGCCCTTCAGTGATAGTGGAAGAGTCCTGTTATGTACATTATATGGTTTGAAATTGGAATGTTCCATTAACATCTTAGGGAGTTAATTTTGTTTGAAAAAGAAAAAGAAATAATTGTAATATGATCTATCTATGAAATCATAAATTAATCCAAATAAACAAATTGCTTTGATATGACCTATGGATGTTATGATGTACAAATTACTTGCTTTTTTAATGGTAACAAAATAGGATTACTAAATTCCATAATTTTTTTTAATTTATGTATACACATGTAGGACTACTTATACCTATGAATATTGTATGTATTATGTCATGGAAAGAATACATATATTAGTTAACTCACAAATCAATAGCTACAATGAGGTATTTGTAAATACAATTCTATTCTGAGACAAAATTATGTTTATTGTTTGACAATTGGGCATTGTGAATGACCCCAGTAAGTTACCATAGTATTAATATATGTTCTAGCAAAATCAGAAGCAGAGAGCAAGAACATAATAATATTTGAGCACAAGTTAAGGCAATTTATAGGTGAATGCAAATAGCATGAACAAAGTCACTTACTTACAGAAGTTTTTAAAGGAATTATAACCACAATAATAATAATATAAAAATCAAACAAAAACAATTGGTTGCTGAATACAGGAATCAGTTAGTAGTACTGTTGCACATAACACTGGAAATGCATATCATTGTGGAGATATTATTATTGGGTATGTCTTATTCTTATCCCAATGGAATGAGTTTGATCTCATATGCAGAGCACATCTCTGGAAAGAATCCAAAGAGAGAAAACGAATTTATCTGATGAATTTACATTTTTAAATAAGAAATCTGGAGAGGATGATAAGTGTCAAGAAAGTCTCATAACATATGTGAACTGAAACTTTAAATTGATACTCCAAATATGCAAACTGTCTCTCTTATTCCAAAAAGGATTGAAATACATTAGGAGTGCGTCATTTTGTCAACTAATCAAGTCAATCAGTATATAATGAAATGGATCTTTTGTTAAATCTTATCAACCAAACATTCATGAATTATTACTTTCCAACATCTAGAACATGCACATGGGACTGTTATAACATTCACACCACTTACACTGTTTCCAGAAGCACTTATACTTCAGACAATTACTATGATAAGCATTTGAAAGCGCTCAGCTCTATAAGGCATTTGTAAAATAAAAAATGAATTATCTAGGCACAATCAAATACTTCAAGCATAAGCGTAGCAGGCCATTTTGTTCTTCTTTCCACAGGTTTTATTTTGTCACAAATTCACTATTATGATTTCACACAACATTGAACTGCCACGATGTACTCGATAAAGCTGTCATCAATAAGATTTATACAAGGCTTCCTTCATTTTCACTTGTTCACATACTGCAAGTCTTTGCTCTGTTTTGCCGTCTTAATTTGGCTTATTTGTTTGAAATGTAGTCACAAACACTGATGATGTAGATATTGAAGTTTGTAATACATCTTTAACTTTTGAAACATCAAAGATACAATTTATGAACCATCTTTCTTCTATTTTGGTTATTTGTCAATGATTTGAAAACTGTGATTCTTAATAATTCAAAAGCCTCCTTTAAAGTTACAAATTCTTTTTTTTCTAGTCCACATTCTATCTTTCAAGAGCATAAGTTGTTAATTATTGTTGAAGCACTTATTTGCTTCTATTTCTGTTTATCTCAAAATAATCACAATTTCCAGACTATAAAGAACACTTTAAATCTCCAATAAGAAAGAGACAAAAAAGACATAACCAGAGCAGCATAAATATAAGGCATATATCGACGGTTTCACACTGAAAGCGACTAGTCTCATACAACAGCCTTTTCAAACAGAGTTATGATGCACATGAACTGCTGCAAGAAAGGTAACATAATTCTAGTTCCACAGTTTCACAATCACTTTCTCTTCAAGTCGTCTTTTTGCTGGAGTCGCGGCACAGTTTTAGCAAGCCATCTGATTGTTTATGTTCTTTCTTTCCTACTTTGTGACGTTCATGTGGAGTCACATCAACTTGTTTGACTGCACATCACTTCGCATACATATTTTACATGGCTACATTTAAATATTTATCATATCATTGTATACACACAGAAACATTCACAGCCGTGCCCACAAACTTTGTTCTTGTGTTTTGCATACCATATACTCATACAGGGCTGAATTTCACAAGAACATCCATTTCTTAAATATTTGAATCTACAAACTTCCTCAGCACATCTCAAATCCAACTGTAATCAAATCGTACCATCAGAGAGGGGTGTGGCTCAGTGGTTTGTACCACCAGGTTCACAAACCATAAGGTCCATGGTTCATTTCCCACCCAGAAACAGCCACTTTCATATCCTTCTGCATTTGAATACAATACTTTTTTTCTTTGGTCTTTTTTCTGGCTAAGGGTAAAATGATGCACAGCAACATTTGAAGGCCCTACAGCTCTCCTTACTTCACTGCAAACCCAACACTCACATCAGTACTTCTTGCATTTGTTTGTGGCAAGCTCATTCATGCTCTTGCCAACATTTATCGATCTCATACAGCGTACATACTGACCACACAAGAATACATACTGTTGATAATTTTATAGATTCAAATGCATTTCTATACCATTGCAAGCTCTGTACGTAAGCACTTTCTCTTAACATTCATTTCAATTTTAGATATAATACTCTCCCATCTTTATTTGACATACAAACAGCTGGCAACAAAGACTAACATCATCTTTCAAGGTGCAAATAAATTATTGGAGTAAAGAAGGATGACGAACACAAAGATCACACACATTCTTCCCGGACATTAGTAGAGGGTTGATGTACTCAAAGCCCTCAAACTCTCCTTGGTCTATCTGACTTAGAACACCCCTGTATGAAGAGCAAATATGAAAGATACAGGGAGGGGAAAGAAACGGGAAGAGAATGAGAAATAAATGATTAAACATTAATAATTGATTATATTTGACTATAATTGTATATGCAAAACAATAGAATAAAACAGTACATATGCTAGTTGCCTCAGATTTCAATTTGAACATGACGAAATGGAAACGATTCATGGGAATCATAACATTATTAATGGATGCTGAAATATTTGTAATGTCATCTTTAGGAATACCTGACTACATTTCTGATGGTGAGAGAAAGAGAGAGAGAGAGAGAGGTAGTGAGAGGTAGAGAGAGAGGTCGGGGTAGAGAGAGAGAGAGAGAGAGAGAGAGAGAGAGAGAGAGAGAGACTTACGGGTCATCAGGGGTCAGTTGTATCGGCTCTTCTGTGAACTGAGGGTCAAAATGTTCTAGGTCACGGTCACTCTGAAGGTGTGGCTTGTAGGGTGGTGTCACTTGACGAGACTCAATCTGATGGACAGATAAAAGAAAAGACACGTTAAAATAAAGGGATCGTTTAACAATGTTAAATCTGAGATGCACGGCCCTATGTGTTATCAGTGTCTGTGATATGGTGTTATATTGAAGCCCTAAAAAAATTGCTGTATATTAGAAACTTTATAAACTTGACACAAAGAAGTTCCTGGGCTTGAAATCGGGCGAAAGTTTTACATCTAGCATCCCTGATATAGCACCATGGAGCTAATAACAATCCTCAGAAGTACAAGGACCAATGGAAGCAAGTATACTCAAGCATGAGGGTCGATACAGATTTCATTAGAATCATATTGCCTTTTCGTGGACGTTTGTAATAGTTTTGATCTGCAAATACCTCATGAGAAAACATTTCTTTGAATACATTAATAATAATCATATCTACTAGAATTAACAAACTGGGTGTAGCAGAAATTACAACAGCCTTATAAATATTTAGAGCATCATTTCTGTAAAGGCAATGCAACATTTGGGGGCAAAGTTTGCAATCATTTTATATCAAATATTTGTAAGTGTACTCACTCTATCCCAGTCTATAGTCTTGAAGAAAGGATGCCCTGTGATGTCACCGAAACCAGTCTGAGGATGACATCCTAAACGCTCTATAGGGTTCTGTGATGAAGATACAGAGGGATGATAAAATTATAGGATGAGTCATGAACCAAGACTACACTCAACAATGTATATTTGTATATCCATCTATTGAAGGTCAAAAATTGTAATGATTTTATTTTGTGAGTATTTGTTATTCATCTCTTTCTCATTCAAATAGATTGAACTTGACCTTGACCTTGAACTTGAACTTAGAACTAAAAATACCACTGTCTTTCTTTCTCTCCTTTTTTTTCTTCTCTCACAACCATTTCCCAAATTGCTTGTTCCATACTTTGTGTTATTGTTATCCACTAAAGTCGCTTTCCCAGCAAATAGACTTGACCTTAAACTGGACATCCATGATGAAATTAAAATGCAACAGTCTTTCCTTCACTCTTTGTTCTATTCAGGTTCTTTTTCTTTCTTTCTATCAATAACTAAATCCTTGAACACTTGTACCAGTCTTTGTGTATGTAAATTATTCATCAAAGTCTCTTTCTCCTCACTGAACTTAAAGGTAAAGACCAGTATTGGAAATGCCCCAATTTCAAAAAATGAAATGGAAGCTCTTATTAGTAATTACCAATCATGTGAAAGAATATGTTTTGACTAATACATCATGATAAAAAATTGCCGGGAAACCGCCTACTAATTGATATATTTGGTAAATTAGTTTATCTATTGGTGTGTGAGAGATAAACGCATGTGTCACGCACGTGTGCGTATTCCTATATACATCTTTCTGTGTACAGTGCTTGTAACTTTACCAAGACTGGGCCAAATTTCTTATCATTAATTTGATGATTCAAGAACCTTGCAGTACACACCAATACTTATATGCTAGATGATCAACCTTTTCTGATAGATTCCACAACGTTTCTTTCACAATGCAATCGCATAACCATAACTGGTCTTTATCTTTAAACTTTCTTCACATTACCCCTCCTCTCCTCATTTCCTCTCAATATCTTGACATGTTCCTCCCATCATTGCTTACCTTATTAAGGAATCCTTTGAGTACTGATGCAGCCTTGACAGACAGAGACCTGGGTATCCTAATAGGCTTCTCAAGGATAACTAAAACAAAACAAAGTATAGAATCCATGAGAAATGATAAACAAATAAAACAACAAAAATCAACAAACAAATAAATGAGTAATTAGCTAAATACATGATACCCTCAGTGACATATAGAAAGCAGGAATACAATTCTATCTTCCATCAACATATGCCAATTTACATTTCACACAGCTGTAATAACTATTTTAAAAGGTAAAGTCCCTTTAATACCGCAAGGGTTTGTTTGTTCCGTTTTGAATAAAATTTGTATCTGATAGACTTACTACCTCCCTGAGCTATGCCCAAACTGACAAAAAGATTTTCCTGTGATTAAATGAAAACAAGTTTCACGACATGAAGTTTCTTTTAGTTTCGTGTTTTGCCCTACACAGAATATTCTCTGCACCTGAGCTATCGATAAAGCCAGATATCATAAATGTCTTCTGTATATTTCTTGCAAAACCATTTGAGAGCTTACTTTCATGGAAGTCATTAGACTTCAATCCTGACCTGACTAGAATTGTAATTTACCTTGGAATAGATAATCTTCAGTGTTCTGGTCAGGATGGTCAGCGTTACCGACGATGTCGAACGGTGATCGTCCAGCGAGCATCTCAAACATGAGCACTCCAAGAGCCCACCAATCCACACTGAAATCTAGAGTCATAACAAACAGATAAAACACCGGTCAATGAGTCGGTCAATAAGATGATTACAAAGCAAAAATATAAAAAGCACAAAACGTCTAGATTAGAGGGAGAAAAGAAGGAAGTATTGTTTGGAATGCCTACAATCAGAGTAAACGTGTTCTATATGAGAAATGTTTGTGAGTGGTTTCAAGACACGAGTGGTTTCAGGACACGAGTGGTTTCAAGACGCTGGTGACCAATGCTCTGCAGACTACTTCTAAAATCCAAGATCTTAACTTCAACCCCATACAGTTTATACTATCCCTAACTCTAAACCGAACCCCAAACCCGTTGCAATGCCCTTTGATGGCATAAAGCTTGGACCATATGTCAGATCACCTTTTGACCATGCGAGTATGCAAAGGCTGAATTTGATTGCTTGATACATTGTTTACTAAAATAACTTGCGGCCTGCTTGTTCCTTCACTCTCCTATTTCCACTGTTTTACAAGGTATGCTATGCAACAAGGACTTAGTCTTGGATCCAGTCTGCAGCTGATTGTTCCCATCCCCCTGTCATCACTAGCACACCTTGGTGAAGCTATAAAAAGCCACCGAAGGTGTGGTAGTGACTGCAGGGAGACTAGGCACGGTGCGATCGTCTTCCTGGCTCTCCACACGTCTGCAGGTCTTCCTCTTCACGCCTGATCACCAGCCCCAGCCCGGCCTTTGCTATTTATCTTTCATCTATCTAAAGTGCTTCTTCAGTATTTAGAGGGTCAAAGCTCTTCTCCCTCCTCCACCCTTATCATAGGTGGTGTGTAACATACAACATCCTTAACCGTGATATGTTTATGTGGATGCCAAAGTACATGTAAAATGTTCATCCAGATCAGTGCATTCAAACTAGCTGCCTTTTCCTGTTCAGAAAGGAAACCACCTATGGCCTTGTGGGAAATGTTTGGCATTGGTCAGAGGTCATTTCCTGTTGACCTGAGCACAATCCTCCCTCGGTTTACGTACATTTCCTACCACTACATGGTTATCTGGAGATATCAGATGTAACACGTTTCCTTGTGGAAACAGGTACGGAATTGAGGGCAATTTTAATGTTACTCACAATAATCTTGTAAATACAATTCCTTCCCCCAATTAAGAGAATGTACTATTTGCACAGTAGAATAGAGTAGAATAAAGAGGGTGATTCAAAGAGAGAAAAACAACTCCCCAAACCCATACTCACCGTAGTCTTCTCCTCTCAGTATCTCTGGTGCGATGTAGTTGGGTGTACCACAGAATGTACTGGTAGTATCTCCTGGCCTCAGTCCCTCTTTACACATGCCATAGTCAGTGAGTTTGATGTGACCATCAGCATCCAGTAACACATTGTCAAGCTTCAAGTCTCGATAGATCACACCTGATGGGAAAAACACAAGACAAACTTAATACATCTTCAGGAAACTTCTTCTTTTTCTGGTTCAAATAATCTTGTATATTTTGTGACAACGAACAAGAGAATAACAGAGAGAGGAAGAGAGGGAGGGAGAGAGAGGGAGAGAGAGAAAGAGAGAGAGAGAGGGAGGGGGGATAAGCGAATTAAGAGGGATAGACAGACAAACCTAGCAAACAGAGACAGAAGTAGAAGGCGAGAGGTAGAGAGAAATTTTTAATCCTTAAAGCCCCACTGTCCTACTTGTAGCTACTTGCTCCCTCTATATAGAAAACTTTCCCAATCAGTGCCTGTTGGTGCCCCATGATCATCTTTTTCTTATGTTAGTTGAGAGCTGAGTTAATGAGATAGCCACATGTCAGTAACCTCGCTGTGTGGTCTAATCCCTTCTGGCCCAGTAGCATTAAAAGTAGTTAAAACTCAAAGCTCAATTTCAAACAAAATAATTCCAAACTACACTTCTATTTCCTAGTCTTTCCAGCAAAAATCCCTTACAATTGTTCATCCTTTACAACGTAAACACTCCTTTATCATGTCATGAAATGAACCTGCTCAATTGTAGAATGTAAGCAAAGAATGTTGATTTACCTCCTTCATGCAGGAAGTTAAGAGCCAGACTGATCTCTGATGAGTAGAACCTAGCGTGTTCCTCTGGCAAGCGTCGCTGTCTCTGCATATGAAACATGAGATCACCTCCACTCACAAACTCAATCACAAAGAACAGCCTGCTGACCGTCTGGAAGCAGGAGTGGAGACCTACAAGGAATGGATGATTAGAAGCCGTCTCAAAGACATGCTTCTCTGTCTGGACCCAGTCTATGTCCTCATCATCGGTCACAAGCTCTTTCTTGATCACCTGGGAAGAGAGAAGAAAGTTAACATTAGTTACCATGACGATGATTCTCTTTATTTCATTACTCAATCATATGAGATCAGGATATGATTGGGCTACATGTATACCTCTCCAAGGGACTCTGGACTGTATCGGCACACCTGGGGTGTTTCACAAAGATCCTAAGGCTAAGTTGGACTTAAAAATTATGGAGAGCCGTGTGTAGCCTTAAAATAAAATATATTCAAAAGCAAAAATGCTAGTATTTTAGAGTTTTCATAAATTCCACATTAAGAAGATTAAATCCTCTTGATAAAAGAAAATATGAATGATTTGAATCAACATTTTATGCCTTTTAAAATAACTTTCACAAAATATTTTCAAAGAGGGCACCACACTCACTTGTTTCCACAGTGGGTCTAGAGGACATATTTGTTGTCAAAATGCATGGCCCCCTGCTTCAATTTCAAAACAGGGAAAAAAATACACGGGGGCTCAGGGAAAATTAGCCCCCGAAAGGCATAAAAGAGTTCCCCAAATTGCATAGAGTTCAATGCAAAACAAAACAAAGAGTGTTATTTTCATTCATGCTAGCTTGAAAAGTAGCCCCCAAAATTGTTAAAGTATATTTTTCCCTGCTTCAAAAACTTGGGGGATATGGGGTGTTTGTAAAGAAAAGACAAGTTTGTCTCTGATACGGAAACAGATCTTACCTTCATGGCATACACACGACTTGTCGCCTTCAATTCCACTAGAAGCACCTTGGCATAGCTTCCGCGACCTATGACCCTCAGCAATTCAAAATCGTCCAATGAGATTGGAGAGTTACCTATCTTGTCGTTGCCATTGGGAGCCTTTGAGAGAAGGGGGAAAAGAGAACGAAGAGAAATTATTATCACTGTCTTACCAACTTTCTTTCCAAGAATTCTAGACAAGAAAGAGTTACACATACATTTTATATCCAGCGTATCGTATCATCAATCACTTTTTTTTGTCAAAATGTAATGAGGTCATGGTATTACTACTAAGAGGAAGCTTTATTCTGTTCACACTTTAACTAAGAGAAAAATCAGTTCAAACATTGCTACAAAATGAGATATAACTCGTATCAGTCTTACAAAACAGAATGCAGAAATAACTGATGAACAAAACATTTTAACATAAATATGAACTACAAAACTGTATGTGGTAATCATGAATTAATATGAACCACATGTGTGTCTTGAGAATCCATGAGAGGTCAAAAACATATAGACATCTTGTATTTGACCTCTAAGAGCAAGAAGGGCACTACATGTCACTCTAACGCTCTCTGCACATGAACCAAGTGTTTAGGTTATTTTGTTTTACTCACTGTAGACGGTGTGGAAGAAGCGGTGCTATCCCTGTTCTTGCGTTGGTGTCTTGGGCTTCCACTTTTACCTACAGAAGACAAAATTGATTTTAAAAAATGATTAAACTATCAGCACATACCGTTTCTCTTCAGAATAGCACAAATATATTCCACACATATTTTGACATACCGGTAAACTAATATTTCTTATCCCCACTTCGATTTTGACAGCAGATCATATTGTACAGATGTAGTGTCATCTCTTTAGAATTATCCAGGATGGAACGACTTACACTTGCAATTTTTCCAAAACAAACACATTCCACAAGATATAAGAAAATGGAAAATAACTTTTCACAGGGAAGCAGGCCAATTGGAGCAGTTTGAAGAGCAGAATGTACATCGTGCATCAAGAAATCTCCTCTTTGAAATGTTCTGGCTGGATATTTGTGAGCACTAGAATTGATATCCTTCCCTGTGTGAAGAGAGCACACCCTTGTTGTAGTGTCTCTGAGTATTACTGGGAGTGAGTGAGTGCTATAGGCAAGATTGCTTTCACTTTCAGCCTCAAGTAACGACACAATGTACTTCGAAACAGAAAGAAAGTGTCAGAAACCTGGCTGCGTGCGGGCGGCATCCTAGGAGGAAATATCCCCGCTTCGGGGTTTCAGAGCTAGAATTTCAGGCGGGGATTCTCCCTCCAAAATGGAGAAGGAATTTGTTTCCTTTCAAATTCCCCAGTTGATACAAGGACCCTGGATGAATGAATGGGCAACAAAGCCTCATCCTGGTACCATGTCCCAATAAAAGTTGTTTCTCTTTAACCCGCATTACCACTAGAATTGAATAAGTGGAATGAAAACACTTTCTTTTCAAACCACAACAGCTATCTCCAGCTATGTCTGAATGTACCATTTACTATGCCAAGATTCAAATCGAGAGATCCTTTTTAGGGCATATCAGGAGGTTCCAACATGGATTGGAAACTAACCATGGTCTACAAATCATATACAGTTGGATAAGTATTCACTCCATAGGCACTCCATGTGCTCTTCATGCTCTATCAACTATACAATTGGGTGGGAAACTGAAACCGAGTGTGGCCGCAAAGAAATAAATGGCCGGCTTTCAATCCACTACGATCACGACAGGCCTTGAGTGGATATTCAAAAGATGCTTTTCTAAGAGGTGAAATTTGACCTGACGAATAAGGATATCCTATTGGATGTGACATCATGGAGTGTATCTTCCTTTTATGGTAAAGCATGCATCAAAACATCATTTCCCTTCTAAATCTGTACCAACAGCATTGGTTGTTGAACAGTGTTAAGGAATCTTGGAAGGCCACATGTCTGAAGGATTGAAAGCTGGGGGCAGGAACAGAGAGGGAAGGGTTTTCTCAGGGCTATAAAGATAACTATGATCAAAGGCAACCTCATATGAACTTCTGATGGTTGGGATAATGAGACAATTGTGAGTTGGGGGCGAAGGTATAGGAGGGTAATTCTTTGGACGAATGCAGCCACTGAGGGAATGCTAGCTTAAGGCACGACTTCATTTTGGTGGGAGGATTTTAGAACAGCCACTGTTGACCAATAATTAATTGCTTTTCATATTTTTGTATGTGGTTGGTGAGCTGGCTTTGCACTTTTGCTGCTTTTGTTTGATAAACCTAACCACGATGTTTGATTTCTGGAAAATACATCCGTAGTCAACCATTTTTCCATGGTCCAAATAACCAAGCCACGCCTGGTCTGCCATATCCTCCTCTGATGGAAGGTCATTGAAAAAATTGCACAATAAATGACGTGCATTCGAGGGGTGTTTTCCGAGGTGCGATCGGACGATGGAGATCAAATTTGGCTGTGATTATGGATGCTCTATTTTGCAGCGTCATCATAACGAGTTCTCATTCCAAAAATCTCTCTGGCATTGAGGCTGGAAAATTGGAACCCTTAATGGTGGATGGCAGGAAACAGGCCATGACGCAATCTGGCCTCATTTCAAAATTCAACTCTGTACAGTATTAAAGTGCACACCACTAAACATGGGTAGACACTCTAACACAGGTATTCTTTGGTTGCAAATAGGCACTAGAAGAGAGATACAGGACATACTACATCAATGTACTATTCTATATGGACTGAGAGAGAGAGCCAGAAGGGCATTAACTCTGTGTTTAAGTGTATGAGTTACCCCCTGTCCACACACAACATTTTCCGCGACTAATCATGATTAGCTATACCGTTTCGCGATAGTGATACCGTTTCGCGATAGTTTTACGACCAAAATTGTAGGTGTGGACGCTCACTAACGATACGTCGTATAACGAAACTAGTCTAACGAAACGCAGGTTTGGGCATCGTTTCGAACTGAAACTCTATAAAGAATCACGCCTAATCACGGAAATGTTGTGTGTGGACAGGGGGACCCCCTGGGGGAGTGTAACTAGTGTAACTAACTGGGCGGGGCTTAACGTGACCTCGAGCGAAATGAGACCAGACCTCTTATCACTATCGCGAAACTCTATAAAGAATCACGGAAAATGTTGTGTGTGGACAGGGGGCATTTTATACGATGATTCTTTAGTGACGACGTTTCTTGTGTGTGGACATCCTGGAATTTATACGATGATTCTTTATACGACGTATCGTTATAGAGTTTCGGGATAAATTGTTTTGTGTGTGGACACGCTGAATATGTCTGTTTGGCTCCAAACAAACAATGCATTTTGCACAACTGGAATCTAAGGGAAGCTGATATGAGAGACACTGAATTTCCTGCACATTTGTAGTGCATGCAGCTCGGGCTAGGCTGTGTCTACACAAACGATACATATTCATGTTTATCCATAACCACAGATGACATTCAACGAAAGACATGGCAATGAGGACACACCTCCCCATTGCATGCATGTACAAAATACATTAAGCTAGATTGCTTTTGAAAGAGATGACACATTAATAACACAGCACTCCATATGAATTCTAACCATCCAAAGACATGGAACTCATAATCCAATGAAAGGAGACCACACACTACGGTACATGGATTAGCAGATTGGTTGTTAGACTCTGCATGTGGAAAATATGCAAAGGTGATGATATAAATGGTTAGTGGGTAGAGTTAGAAATGTTTAGTATGAAAAGTGAGGATATAAGTGCAATGTTAAAAAACTGTACAGAACTGTATTATTGGGTGAGTGGAAAAGGGAACAATTGACATAGGAGAGAGCTATGGATTTCACCATTTTATCTTCTGATCTGTGCTTTTCCATTATGGCCTTAAACGCGTGGATTCAGCTGATCATCTTGTGATCTCCGATAACAATCCTTTTAAAAACATACAGAATTCCATTTCCATGCCTTGAATTGTTTCCCGCATACAGAGAGAGACTCGCAAGGAATAATATGAAGAGCGTGCAAGGAAACAAAAATCAAAACCCACTTCACACTAGATAAACATCCGGGTATATCCATTTTCCCATCTAACAAGTATATTTTCAAATGCAATAATAACAAACCACACGTTAGCATACCATGACTTGGCCTTTAATGGAAAGAGTTGAGATTCAGATTGATCACACATCTTCCAATCGATCCCAAACTCCTATCTCTCAAGTATAGAGCTGCAATTGATGTCAAGCTAGTTGAGAGCAATTTAAAACAATCCCAACTGTTTACCACATAGTGGCCCTGATATTTCAATTTCAAAGAATTTTCTGATCATATTGCATTGTAAATCATCTAGCTGTAAGAGAAATGAGTATGAATATGAAAGGAAAGGGTGATTGATGACCTGAGTTTGCATTCATACCTTGCATAGTGATGATAGCTTTAAGAGCTTCCCATCAACAGAAACACAATCACAGGAAGTCACAGGAAGTGAATACTCCTAAAGGTCAATGTCATAATCACAGACGGCTCCTATAGTTACAACCGAAACACGCAATACAGAAGCTCCCAAAACTGGCTTCAAGAAAACAATTGAAATGTTTCCTCCTAACTAAAAGAAGAGTGTGCTAAAAGTTTGCACGATGATGAAACAAAATCATTATTTACGACAGTTGTTGATGCATGAGTAGATTTTTTTTAGTGCATTATCAATTGACGTCCAAATATGTCAAAAGGAAGTATAGAAGAATCAAATTCTTGAGTTTGCAGATGATCATACATGTATTTCTTGACATCATCATCATCATCATCTAGTGCTGTCCCTTCGGAAGGGGTTGGTGGTTATGCACCTCCATCGCTTTCTGTCATGTACCCTTGCTCTAACCTCCCCGTAGTTAAGACCAGTCCATTTCTTGACATCATCAAACCAAGTGATTCGCTGTCTACCCCTTTCTTGACATAATAGACATCAAACAAGTAAAACACAGCAGAAATCAATGAACATGTTGCAGAATCATGTCATTTTCAACTCCAGGAATCATGTCATTTTCAACTCCAGGAATAATCAAGCTGTCCAAAAGATGCTTCCTTGACATCAGAAAGCCACTGCAATCCCACAATCTCAAAAAAGGCCTCTCAGATCATCCAGATTATTCCACAGGTTTTCTGCAGATTTCATGATATTTATATCCTTTATTTGCATCCTTGGAAGTATAACAACTCTTTTTCATTTAAGACAACAATTTTGGCACAAAATGACACCTTATGCTGGTCAACTGACAACCTGCCATAACTAAACAGTGCATCCAAAAATGTATGACTGTATCTTAAGAAATCTTGGAAAGCATTTGACTTAAAATCAAAGAGGCTGCAATATTTAGGGTAAAGAAACTGTTTCACACTACATGAAATAGGTTGGCCTAAATCCGATCTAGAGACCGAGCCCTTTTACAAGCTCATTGACCGTGGTCGGAGCAGGAAAGGGAGCACTTGCGTGTCTTTTTTTGCCTGTTCCGAAAGACATTGCATGCATGAGGCATAGAAACACTTACACAAGGCAGACATTCCCCTGGAGGTACTTATAGTGCATTTCCTTCTTACGTTTCCTTACGCATACAAGGTTTTCTATTGTTTAAGGATAGGTTTATTATTCTGAGATTGACACCTTCAAATCAATTTCCTGGTTGGGTGATACTTCTCAAGGGGGCTTGTACTTTTTTAATGTTCGCTATAACAGCAAGACTGTCAGTTTGTACGATAAAAACAGTTTTTTCCTCTCAGAATGCTTTCCTTTCCATTGATAAAATCAGGGGTTGTTTACAAATGCATGATACGTTATAGTTTAGGACAGGAAATGAGCTCTACTTAAATCTGGGAATTTATACAATAATATTTGAGAGCTTTATGACATTTCCTGAGCTGTACCAAAAAGAGCAAAACCAATCTAAATATTGATTAAAATATCAAATATGATATTAAAAAAGGGAAAATGAGAAGGTTCCATTTGTAAGAATAGAGATGAATGAATAAAAAAATACCTCCCAAAAAGCATGGAAATGTGTTTAAAGAAACTGCACCGATGGTTGCAAAGAGAATGTCTGCCCAGTGAGGTATGCAGGTATGAGTTAATTACACCCATTAAATACATGAAGAATCATGTAGGCACTGCACTTTAAATATGAGAGAAAGACCGAGACTTGACTTGGAAAATATGGAAAGGAGTGAGATAAGAAAATGAGAGGGAGAGAGAGAGATAGAGAGAAAGAGAAAGAAAGAGAAAGAAAGAGTGGAAGAAAGAGAAAGAAAGAGAGTGGAAGAGAGAGAGAGAGAGAGAGAGAGAGATAAAAAAGAGTGTAAAGAGAAAAATAGAACGCCAAGAGGGGAAATGAGGACAGAATATAGTTTTATGTTTGCTCATAGTGTTGGCTTAATGACCGTTTAATTTGCCCACAGTATAAACAACACTTTGATGAGTCGACACTCGAGCAAAGAGTATGTGCTTAAATATTGATTTGGTGCAAGATTGGATGATAGATGAGAATATGGAGGCAAACAGAGAGAGAGAGCTTAAACTCTCCCACAGCACTGCATTCTTGTGATATGACTCCATCATTATGGACGCAATACAAAACAGCATCAACACCACCAGCATTTTATGAATGCAATGTGCTACATTGCATGAGTTTGTAAATGCTTAATGCATATGATTTGTAGCTATGATCATGTTTTATTTGATCTTGTTTGTAAGTCCAAAGTGTAGTTATAGTATATTTGTTTCACAATTTGTGGAATAACCTCATTCTAGCGGAAGTATTTTGTTCTCCTTCATATTAATTTTCAATGAATTGCAAAAAGAGGAATGAAAATAAATATGAGTATTTTGGTAAAACAAAAGGAGGTCAAAATGAGGTATATCCACATGAAGACACAACTGAAAAAGGTCTATGTAAATGTTTGAAAGAATTTATCGGAAGCTATACAAAATATTGCAATGCAATATTCTTTTTTAGGATTGGTGATGAGATAAAGAAAAGAAAAGAAAAGATAAGCCATTTTCTATGTGTCCTCTCAATTTTAACCTAAATGTGGCACCACACTGCGTTACAATGCTTGAGCACGTACAGCATATATTCATGAAAGTATGCAGCACGCTGGACAATTCTTTATATAACATCATGTTCTACAAGGAGTAATAGTTTCTGAATATATTCCCTCTAGGTTTAATTTGGAGAAAGCCTTCATCTCCAAGCTGAAAATGCACTCCATCCTTCACAGAGTGTACTTAATGCGACAGGAATCTGCTTTTTATAATATCATCTAGCTTTCTCATTTCAACTAGAGAGCTGTTTATGCACAGCATTATTAATGGATGAAAGTTGCTTTTTTTAAGGATTGCCACCTAACAGATTGAAACTTCAAGTAGAAAGCAACGATGTTTGAAGCTGTAATGCAGCTTATGTCAGCATGCTGTAAACTTTAATATAACAGATTGCTTCCAACAAAACAGTTAAAAAGAAATTCCATTTCATTTTATGGGGCTGAACATCTATTCAAGATCATTTCCATTCAGTCTTTTAATACTAACTACTACACTTGCATTTTTTGTATAAAAAAATTAAGCAAATTAAAAAGAAAATGACTAGTTGCTCTATAATAATAATAATAATATTTAATTTTTAAATAGCGCTTAATACAAATGTCTCTAAGCGCTTTACAAATATACTATTACTATTATATTATTAGGCTGTTTAATCACTAATATTTGTATCACTCTCTTAAATGGCAATACGAAGCTTCAGTAGGCAGAAGTGTGTACTGATATAAACCACTTTGCTGGGATGTGCAAAAACTAAAACATGTATCTTTGATATCCGTGATTTATAAAATACAACAGTTTGAAGGAAAGTGTAGAATCTATGTTATTTATTGCTCGTGCAAAAAAGACACACAAAAATGATCAAGATAAGCGCATGTGAATTGACTCTGTCAGCATCCTAATATGCAACATAATTTGGAATGAAAGAAGAGAGTAGAGAGAAGGAGAGAAAGAAGGACAAGAAGATAGATATGGAGAGCTGGAGTGAGGATAAAGGGAGAGAGAGAAAGAGAGAGAGAGAAAGAGAGAGAGAGAGAGAGAGAGAAAGAGAGAAGGAAACAAAGAAAAGAGTGGAATTGTGATGCTTACATCTTTTACATATTTGTGTTGTATTTGCCAAGAAAGTTTCCTATGAACTATTTTGAGTTATGAAAGTTGAGTATACATCTATCCTGTGCGATCAGGGTCAGTGAATAGCAGTCAGATGTACACTGAATTAGCAGACCCCTTTCACACCCGAAAGATAATACAAGGGAAATGCAAATAATGCTAGCAGACCACAAAGCAAGATTTCACATGATGAACAAAAGCAATTGATTTTCTATTTCGATGTAACACAAGTGTATATTTTAACCCGATTTCATTAGATCTGAGCACATCAGATTTGTTTTGGTGATTATTCAGGTCTATAACTTTTCCTGATCAGCCTTGTTGATGGAGACACAGAATTGGCCGTTTACGTGGGCACTAATCAAATTTTATAGACAGGAAATCGTGAACCCCAGAGCAAACAGTGGTATGCCACATATCAAACTTTGGAGTTATTGTGTATGGGGGGAAAATCTGCCTTTTTATCCAAAATATGACATTTTAGGCTTCGACTACATCAAGGATTTGATCCAGTATTGTATACTCATAAAGTTGAAATAGGGGGGGGGGGCGGGGGGAGGAGTAATGATACATCTGCTAATTAATGATAGATTTTTAAAAGAAAACTTCATGCTTTGTTTCATTTGTGAATCTAGTGAAATACAAGAAATTAAGAAATGATTCTTTTTCTTTTGCAAACTTAAGGTACGAAACAGAAAAGAATCGGATAGAATAATAAAGAGAAAAGAATAAGTTGATTTGCTTTCTGTAGATACCATAGACAAAACATTATATAACTATTTGATTGTATATGCAGCAAGGCTAGATAAGTAATGGCACTGAAAATTAAAACAGACACAGGAAATAAAAACACCACAATAACTGAACACTTTTGTAGCTGTGAGAGGGTGACAGGAAAAGATGAAGATAAAACCGCCATGACAACAAAACACTAACATTTACCTAATGAATAGTCTGTGTCCACGGAGTCCATCGAATCTCTGTCGCTGCGCCCGCTGCCCCCGAAAAAGGCAGCGTTTTCAAAGCCGGCGTAGGGGGGAGGTGCCGAGCCTTGTTGACGCAGGGAGGAGGAATGAGGTGCGTGTGAGGGGTCTTTAAGGGTGGTGGAGGTGACAGAAGGGGGTTGGGACATGGGGCCAGTTGGGGCTATTAAGAGGGCGGAGTTAGGTGGTATTGGTAGTGGACATTTTGGGGTTAATGAATGTTATGAAAGATGTTTTAATATGAGGGGAATATCCGTTCAGCAAGAAAGATCGGAATTGTTTATATTTTCAAAGTTCAGATTTCAGTCGGGTGGATTTTTAATCAAAATATGTTTGTCAACAAATTAGTTCAAATGCAATACAAATCAAAAAAATCACAGCACAGTGTTGTGGCAAATGTCATTTAGAAAGGGTCAAATCAAAAAAAGTTTGTTTCAAGTTTTAACGGAAAAGGGGGTAGTAGGGAAGGGGAAGGGGTCAGGTTAACCAACACCATGGGTACAAGGATTGGGTTAGAGGTGCATGAGGGGTAATGGGGGAAGGGGGGTGAATGAGTGGTAGAATACAAGGGGGCAGGAACAGGAAGGTGGGGTTAGTAGAATGAAGAAATGAATTAACCATAAATTATGAATATGAAGCTAATAATCATATAAATATCTCAATTCCATAAATTATTTATGATTATAATATACATAACAGAAAAATTGGAAGCACTATTTTTTCAAAAATATATATTGACAGATTTTGTACATAAAGTAAACCCCCTTTGCCTTCAAATTAAAATGGTATGTGTAAGTGCCCAACAGTTTATATCATGCAACTGCTTGTTAGTAAAGCAACACAAATAGCCATGCAATTAAAATGACCAAACAAAAATTATCAATTGGCTGCAAATAGTACTAAAATAATCAAATATGTTGAACAAGAATATAAGCAGTTTAAATTTATCCAAAAGCAAGCCTATGAACCTCATAAAATATTTCATACCTGTTTTAAGCCATAGACAGAACAATTTTTTTCTGCCCTTTAAAAATAAGGTGAACGAACTTTGCGAGAAAGAAATTGGCTATTGCTCAATTTTATACCTAATTACCCAAAGCATTGTGATTTGTACCCATTACTAAAACTCAGCCCATAACCATCTCTTCCTCAGTGATAAAAGATAATGAGATACCTCTTCCCCTTTCAAAGAAAACAAATACTTCCCTTCAACCACAGCCAAGGGATATTGTAAATCAATTAGCCAGATCCATCAAAGGATTTATAAAACCCAATCGATTTTGAATGTAAGATCACATGATTTTTTGTGTGATTACTGTTTATGGTGTGGTGAAATATCAAAGTCCACGATTGAAGGCTAAATAAACATCATGAAATCAACTGCATGTGACTAACAAAATCTCTATATTTCAACTTTTTAGAATTCATAAATATCTTCATAATGAATGAATTGTGTGAGATCTAATAGTGATTGACCACATTGGAGATGTCTACTTTTCTACTATGAAAACATTTTAATTTTGACTTGTGAGTCGACTCCTCCCTTCTCTAAATGAAGACCATGTATGAGTTAGTAGAATGATGCATGGGCGGGCGTAGCCACTCCTGCCAGAGGGTAGACTTACTTCGTTTGTGATGGGAGTCGCTTCTATCGCCTGGCTTGGAACCAAAGTGTGGCAAGCTTCCCGATCCACTCCTCTCGTCCAGGGTGGACAGATTGGCCTGGCAGATCAAAGATCAAACAGATTGAAGGAAACTCATGAAACCAAGCAAGTCTTATTAAGACTGATATGAATGGTTGGACATTAACAGGCCCACAGGACACATGGCGGCTCAAAATCTAAGTCTGGACCCCAAAATTTCACAATTCAAAATAATAATTCAAATATTTCATTTCTATCAAGATTTTGTGCAACTTAGACATCATTCAATATGCTACTACATGTATTATCATCAGAATCTTATTCTGCTTCTTTGGCATTAAAACACCCAACGATGCAATCAATTAGAGAAGATTCTCCACAAACAACCAGCTACTCTGTTTCCAGCTACCACCATCTAGCATGTCTATCTAGTCTATGTACAAGTGCACTGCTATATCAGGCAAAGGGTATAATGCACACAAACACAGACAGCACTATATCTGTAGTACTGTGTAGTGTACTTGAAGGACACTTACAACGTCATACCTAGTCTTGTTTCAAGGCAAAGGTTACAAATTGTGAATCTGTTTTAACTAAATTCAAATGAACATTCATTACAAGTAGTTCTATATCTATTCACAGTTCTAGATGTATGTCATTACTGTTATAGTATACAATACTTGTGACTTTACCTGTCTTTCCGCACATGACACCTTCACAAGACGATGGCATTTCTTATGAACGAGCAGCTTACAGTCAACGCACTTGTATCCCTGCCGCCCAAGACCCCAGATACGGTCTGCGCAGTAGGTACACAAAGCCCTCTGTTGGTAGAATAAAAGACAATCAATATGAAGGTTAAGGTATATCTAAGAAAGGAGATTAAAGGCTATTAATGTATTATAAAACTTCAATCCTATATGTTGTTTCTGGACAGAAAGTGTCAAAACTGTTTTATGACATTAAAGAAATGTTTGACTATAGAGTATGTTTCAAACTTCTATTTCTTGTTTTGTTCCTCTTAAAATATATAAATGCTTCCAGTTATTTGGCTCTTGATAGTGAAGTTACATTTCAACAAATTGGTGTCTTGCAAAACATTTAGCACTTGAGCAATACCATGTATATATCTTCTGTGTTAAACATAACCAGTGAAACATTCAACAATATAATACGTTTCAGTTCAACTCATTAAAGTCTAGGCCTCAGATTTCTCAGAGAATAACAAATTGGAATTGCATGTTTAAATGAAAATCAATTGTTGCATACAGGTAAACTGCAACCTAGAAATACATCATAAAAGTGAAATGTTTAGCAATATCATATCTGTGGTAGCACTATACAAATATCATAAATGCTTGTGGCAAAGTATAAGTAGAGATATAACAAATTCATGGTCAAATAATCTCTATCACAATATATGTATTGTGCTATGCCTTGTACAAATAATATGAATACATATTTGTGGTGGTGAAGCAGATGAGAAAAATATCTATTAAAAAAATCCTTTGTCACTGGTACAATTTGAAAATGTTGGAAAAGATAAATTACATTTTTTCATTTAATTTCTCATAACACTTGACAGGCCCGGTCAACAAACAGAACAATCAGTGGATTGCTAAAGTCAACTTTATCACACATACAGTTGGTTTATGTGCCATAATACTCAAGTAAAATTTAAAAAAGTATTGCTCACCCGACTGAATCTCTTTGGTTGGAATGTATGTCCATTGACTTTGTAGAGTTTTCTCCATCGTCGAGCTCCACGTCTGTATATGTTTCCTGCAAGGGAAGACAAAAAAAAAAGGATTGTTTAAGGTGTGGCTGCTATAATGTCTTTAAGAGGTGGAGAAATTAGCAGAGAAAACCTTGCTTTTGAAAAGCCTAAGGTATGTTAACTCATATTTAAATTGAATTTACAACCTCCTGGCTTTCAAAGGACTAAGTTGAGAGAAATCAGAAAAAACGATGAAAATCCCTTATCATGAGAAGTTTAGACACTTCAATGTTGAAAGAAAGAAAGAAAGAGAATTCAGCAACTGGAACGACGTTCACACAGAAAATTTTCTTTAAAGCTGTTGAGTTAAACAGCTTTAAACTAATCAGCTCTAGATACGATGAATTTTAGCTGTGTGTGAAAAGGCTGAAAGTATACTTGCAGCTTGAAGCTGAATAGCCTAGTCTGCCTGCCACAGGACCATTGGATCACACCATCAAAATCTTTCAACAGCATTCGCTACCAAACTGGTAAACGCACAGCCTGTGATACATACATGTATGATGACTGAAAACCATCAGTCACCAAACCCTGCCACTACCAGCAGATACCTCTAACCTTCCACAATAGTGCATATAAGTACAACATAACAGTTTAGTCTCAATTTAGTCTACGTGGTCCTCAAATAGAATAGGGATAGAATTCTTTAAGAATACTTGATGACCAATAAAAAGTTTAGATGGTTTAGTTGCTGGTATATTTTTTTGAATATGACAAATTTTGTTACCGGTGCTTGACTAATATGCATAAAGGTATATGTCTCGTATCAAGACATTTGCTGCCAGTTTTTTTTTACATTCAGGCATATATACTTGTCTGTTTGTTTCTTCATATAGTGAACTATCTCATAATGTTAAAATTGTAATCTTAAAATGTTGCATATTACAAGATATCTTAGTTTTTTCCCCTTTTTTTTAATAGAAAAGAAGCACAATTACATGTAGTAGTAACTCTGCTTGGATTGCTTTTGGGTCCTTCTTGCTGTTAGCTGAACTGCTAATCATGATGACATAAGGCTTTCTATTGCTCATTCCAAGGGAAGCCTGTGGTTCCGTCTTTCCCACATATTATCAAGAAGTTAGCTCATGAAAAATGAGAGCCATCAAATTTAGCTGGAGGCAGGTCAAGCTAATTACACTGAAATGAACAGAGTGAATATGGGAGAGCATGGGAGGGAGAGAATATCATGATAGTTAAACCAGGGAAAGAAACAGATTGAATATGGGAAGGGGCATTAACGAGAGGAGGGGCAGATGGGGTAGGGGCATGTGAGAGATAATTAATTCATTGAAAGGTTGACTGAATATAGGGGGAGGGGCAGAAAGAGGAAGTGGACATTTCCAGATACAAATACCCAGGGAAATTAACAGAATGAATATTAGGGGGGGGGGGGAGGCAGCTTGCGCGCAAGTTTAGGATTCATGACTCAGCCACAGGCTTCCTTTCTCTCTCCAAGGCTCCGAAAGTATGACAGGAAGCTGACCTGTAATTCGGTATAAAAACGCTCTGCCCCTTCTTTCGGATCCTTTCCAAAATAGTCACACGCTCTTGGCATTCAGAGGAGTGTTTGCTTACAGCGGCATGAACTTGACCTACATTTACACAGCACACAGCTACATGCTCGAGTCTAACTTAAAGAGAATGTCGAGTTCTGGGAAAATTAATGAATAGTTGTGAGCTTTATCATTCTGTTTATGTTATTGTAGAAGAATATCATTATTGAAATTCCCCTACAAAGGACTGTTCTTCAAATGCCTTCCTATTCAAAATGTGACAAGAAATAACAGAAGTGGTTGGACCAAACTTTCATGCCAGATGTTTGTGTAGTCCCATAAACACATTTCTATGTACACTGTGACTGTGACTTCAGCAAGACTAGCTCAATTTCTTATCATTTATCCGCGACCTCACAGTATACATGATTTTTATTTGCCACATCATCAGCCTATATTTCCATTGCTTCCAGGTAGTATCTCCCATAATGCAATCAAATAGCCAGAACTCCACTTTATCTTGAAGGCAAAAAATGTATAATGCACATTACTATACCCCCATGTATCTTCCCTTCAAACCTCTTTCTAAACCACTGTGTGAAAATTATATCTATGACCAAAAAAAATCAGATGCACACCCAAGATAAATTTAGTACTAATCTGACATATATCCTCATAAAGAAGGGGGGGGGGGTGGTTAATTGCATAAATCAGCTAGCTCTGATGGTTATGAGGGCTATAATGGATGCTAATGTATCCTTTGTTTTCCATCTCTCAAAAAATATCTCGAGGCATTGAGTAGGCATTACATCAGTAATGCCCTCACGAAAAGAACTTTGCTTGAGGCTAGCGATTGGCCCCACGCTCAGAATCAGCGAAGGAGTAATGAAGAGAAGATTCAGTCATATTGAAATGAAGCTCATTAAGAGCTGCCGGTCATAACCGTGTGGCAGACAATCAGCGTGGGAATTAGTCGGAGATGAATGAGTTTGGGCTAAATTAGACAATATGTATGCATGACTCTTTAACAAAGGATTGATGAATCAATTCATGTTTTCTAGGAGGAGGAGGAGGAGGAGGAGGAAGAGGAAGAGACAGGGCATGGGGTAGGATGGATGGGGCGTGCAGGACGGGTGCGGTCAGGGAATGTGATCTGTCTATTATAAGGACACAAATCTGGGCAGTGATTAATGACAAAGTCAATACACACAGACACACAAAATGGTAAGAGAGAGAGAGAGAGAGAGAGAGAGAGAGAAAGATATATAGAGAGAGAGTCAGAAAGAGAGACAGAGAGACAGAGAGACATGTACAGTGTACATGAAAATGTAGTAAAATCTATATTATCTGCTGAGAGCCAGGGTGTGTTTACTCATATACTTAAACAGATTCAATGCCCATCAAGCTCATAACCCAACATATTTGGAAGAACATGAGCAAAAAACAGAAAGCAAAATTGGTACATGAAAGCACATAAAAAGGACATTTTCCTTCAAGAATGTTAACATTCTATGAAAGAGAAAAGGGCATTTTCTTGTTTACTTCATATACATGCTCTACTATTTTTTCTGAAAAAAAGAGTCCCTAGGCATGCAAGCACGTAGGCCTCAAACCCAGAGAGCTTAACAATCAAAGCAGTACAACACCAAATGTATCAAAGTGTGGAATGTGCGTTATTCAGGGAAATATATTTCAAGTTCAAAATTCTCAAATCTGTTTTGAGCAAAGCATGAAAAATTGCTTGAACAATAGCTACGAATTTGCAATAAAGTCTTCTAAATGGCTAGCAAAGAGTGAAGTGACAAACAGACACTTGCTTCCTTCAGACAATGATTCAAAATTCAGAGGCATTGAAAGACAGTCCTCTTCACAAACATAAAGTTCATGTAGTATATTGGGGTGAGAATTTCATTTTCTGAAAATTCAATTCCTAAATTTAAATTACGGGGCACGAATTATCGAAAAATGCAATCAAATCTCCAAACTCATGCAGCAATTGAGTGTTAATACAAGAAAATGGTAATTACTAAGCAAATTAGAAAAACTAAAAACAGAGGAATACTTAAACACTATTCAAAACTCACCATTCTAATTCTCACTGCACAAGATTCAAATTAACCAGCAACCCTGACCAATAGTGACCTAAACTTTTACACGTGGCAGCTCAAGAATTAGCTGCACTGAATAAGTAAGACCACTGCTGACCAAGCCCAGATCACGAGTGACCAGAAATCTACATGTACCCTAGCAAGGATGGACTGACCATCCGTTAGAGGAAGTGGGTATTTTCCACCACTGGTCAAATCATCTGTCTTCTTTAATGAGTTCTCTACGCACGAATGCAGCTCTCTGATTACTCATTACATAGTTTCCTTGTAGGCTGGTTGGCTGGCATATGGGGTAGACAACTCAGATTAAACCTTTATCGTTGCTTTCTGGCCGTTTCCTTTTGAGGTCCCAGGATTGCAGGGGACTTTGTTGGGTAATAACCCGGATTTCCTTTAACCAGATCATTTCTGGCATGAGACGAGATTGGAAACCACTTTGGACTTGTATAACACTTCGAAAGCAACACAAGGATGATAAAAGATATATCAAGTATCATATCATTTTGTTTTGTTTTCATGAGTAGAATTAATAGCCATGTTCGCACGGAACCATCATGGTTTGTGCAACCTCAAAGTTTTTAACACTGACGTTTACATGGGACAAGAGACAGAGACAGAGGCAAATAGCAATACAAAGGGGTAACTTGTAAAATCTTATACCCCCCCCCCCCCAAAAAAAAAGGGATTTTTAAATGCAATATAAGCTTTGCATTGTGATCCTTATAGATTCCTTCCTCACAATGTGTGAGAACTATCATTTAGGCTATCTAATCCAAAAAAGTATTTTCAAAATCTCATTTTGCTACCAAATCTCTGCGCTATCTGGCCCAAATGGGTGTGAGTCACTCCCTGTCAAGCCTGCGAAGAGGAAGCCAGTAGACGCTACCGATAAGAGAACACCAGGAACTAGTACAGAGTTGACTCATGCCAACTACGGCCTTCTTGGCCCTTCATCTCTGTCCGTTCCCGTCTTCCTGGATATTTCTAATTATGTCACATCAACCTTGATATAATCTGATGATAGTCTTGAGAGAGAGAGAGAGAGAGAGGGAGAGAGAGAGAGAGAGAGAGAGAGGGGGGGGGGGAGGGGGAAATGCAAAGAGACAGAGGGACAGCTAGGGGAGCAGGTGGAAGCATGAATAAAACCCTTATTACTGCGTCACAGCGACTCAAAGTGATTTCTGAACGGGGCTTTCCACATGCGTGCCAAATCAGCAATGAATTAGGAATTTGCTTTACATTCTATCCCTTTCAAAATTAGAGTACCAGCACCATAAGGCTTGAAATTTGGTCCCCTATTCCCTAACTAAAGAGTTATAAATAAATGTATAACTCCGGCCCTAACTTATAAAAGAATCATAAAAAAATGAAGAAACATACGCATACAAGAGGACATAGATATAACAAGAACACAGCAATTACTCCACCTTTTTCAAAAGGCAGGAACTAACATTAACAGACAAAACAAAGAAAGAAACAAGAAAAAAAGAAAGGTACAACCAGTGGACAAACAGGAACAAAATAGAACGATAAACTTACTGTCTTCCCCAGGACAAGGCAGGCCAGGTCGGACTGGAACTGTTGGGAATACTGCATGAGAAAAATAAAAATACAAAACAAAAAATTATTAGAAAAGGTAGCAAAAAAATATATAGCATATCATTGAATTCATTAAATGAAGATGTGATACAGACACACTACAGAACCCTATCATAAACAACTGAGCATTTCACATTTTCAATTTCATAATAAGTTTTTTAAAAATGCAAAGCTTTGCATTTAAAACTTACACTATGCCCTAATCTTATCAAAATCTCAGAACAATGAATATTCATAAGCTATTGCTTCTTTGAAGATCAGTCCAACTCTTGGTCTAATATGGAATCTGGCATTGTAGGTTAATCAGACTTATATCACAATCATGATTTAACCTTAACCCCCTTATCCTTTAACCCTCTTTAATAAATCATGACGTTTTTCTACCCAGAGAAAAAATTGTACGGTTTAATTAAGACTGCAAAAAGTGAAGATACATTATACGCGCCAAAAATACCAGGAAACAAGTCATTAACTATGCAAAGGCATTTGGTATAGTTCTGCCTATAGGGGAATGCATAGATAGTTGAACTCATTTATTATGCAGAGAGATGAGTTTTAAGTATGCCCACGGATGATTAAGTATGCATAACAGTGCCATCAAGAATACATGGCGGTTTGTTGCGCTTTGCAAAGCCCGAGCTGATTTATGAAATACGCCATGCGTGGAATGCAATTCACCATGTCTTTCACAGCTCTCCCGCGCTCCTGCAATATACATGAAAGCAAGGCAGCCAGCCAGCCAGGGAGGGAGGCAGGGAGTGTGGCTTAGAGTAATATCAGTAGTCAAAGAGTTGGTGGCAATTAAACGGCACTGTATTACTGCCATATGATATGGAAAGGATCATCTGCATAAAGACGATGAGACATATAAATTGCCAAACTGTTTTGATGTCTCTGTTTATTGCCAAAGAACGTTCCCCCCATGGAACCCAAGAAGTTTGATCTGGTCTCTACTCCTCTAGCTTACATATTTGTGGCAATAAAGTTAGAATGATACATTTATCAGTATAGCATAGTAGTGTTCCTATGCTATGAGGTCTTCTGTTTTGTAAATTAATACCAGTTTTTCTGAGAAACATGGAGACAATACGGGCCAAAAGATCACCCAATTAAAATATGCTTTATACTAAAAATAAAATATATGTATACAATTTTTTAGTTTTAAAATTTGTTTATCACAAGAAATATCGCACCAAAAGAGAGAGAGGAGAGAGATAGAGTAGGGAAAGGGGAAATAAAGGAAGAAGATTATAATAACTTTAATAAGGAAATAAAGCTTGCAACGGAGAGGGGGGGGGGGGGGGTGGTCCACAGGAAATTGGCAATCTATGCTATTTTACCCTAAACAGCAGTGGCATTTTGAGAAGCTCTCACTAATGGACTGATTAATGAGCTGGAAGAAAAGCATAAGGAGAGCAGGGAAACCAACTAGATTAAACCCATCAGAGATTGAGCTATGAAAATATAAGGCCCCATATTGAGGGCAGGGTATAATCTGAGATATAGAGTAATAACAACTTGAAAATGTCAAACCAAATATCAGTTTGCTAAATGAATGTTTGGTGCTTCTTTTTGTCATGATTGTGGCTTGAAATATGCTAAATGTTTTCAAAAACAAACTCAAAACATAATGGTTATGAGATCATGAAAATAGAGGTAACAGACTGAATTGTGTAAATGAGCAACAGCAAAGAACTTCAATAATATATCTGCATATATAAGAGTGTCTGAGAACCTGATCCCATGCTCTTCAGTACCTGTGCTAACCCTTTGAATGGCCAATTCAAATTCTAAGAGTGAAAAGGAAATTCTTAACCAGGCATCCAAGAGAAGCACCCATGTATAATGCAGTCTCTTGAATGAAAGCTAGGAGGCCTTGGTTATCAAGTGATTTTCAAGCTACGCAGCTGAGACACAAATTGCATAGACAGGGTTGGTCTGCAAAAGTAAAACCAGCATATGGGAATATGGTTTATCTGTGCTTCATATTAATACACAGTTCTGTTTGATTAGCAGTGTCGTTAAGCTATGCCATTCTCTTGGCTCTCTGTAGTATAGTCCTTGTTTATCATTCAACGACAGAGACCCAGTGCCTCATCAAAATGACAACAGTAAGGGTTCCGGCCTTGAGCGCCCCACATATCTGCAGGCTCTTTGGCTAGTCTGTATGCAATTTATGCATATGATTTAACACTGTGAGGGGAGTGCTGGGTATTCCATTTCTCTAATGTAAATTATCCTTGCACTTGTATTAAAAGGAATTGCAGTTAAAGAGCATTAAACATATAGGTTAGAAGTTTGATGTGAATTATTACTTGTGAAGTGAAACCCTGCATATACCGTGCATGTGCTTGTTTGGATATTTTAAATAGCAAAATGATGAAATACTGGAGACTTGCAGAAATTTAACACAGCAAACCTCTACAAATATTGTCATCCCTCGTGAGAGTGGGTCTCGTTATCTTGAAGCCAGTATTTTTTTTAAATTACATTAATGTTCGATACTACATTCTTCAATGGAGCTACACTTTTGTTTTTTGTAAGTTTCCTGATGATATCAATATACATACACATAGGACTTAGAAGACAACCTTGAATCATCCAATAATAAATCATAAATATGACAACTAAAAATTACCTGGGTTGTATAAAAGTAATATCAAGTGCTTTAAAAGAATGCAATAGTGCAGTATAGCAGCATGAATGCTTGATGAATACACTGCCACATATATACCCATTACGGCATTGGAACTTCACTCGCATTTGAAAATCCAAACCCATTCGATTATGCCCATATTGCATTTCATTGTTGTCGATCAAAGCGTGTGAAAGAATGGATTCTATTTTCTGTTCACCAGATTCTTTCTTTTCTCTGAAAACAGCCATTCATTCATGAGCACAATCCCTGAGAGCAGAAAGCACCTTGCCCTACTTTCATTCTGCCTGCTAAGAAACCTGCTAACTCTATGGAATGTTACTACCAGTTAATTTCATTAGATTCTGCAATTCCGCAATTCTACTTGTCCTAACAATAAAATATTTTTGAAAGACACCATTTTTAGATATTGAGAGTACAAGTAAGACAATGTTTTCATATGAAACAAAAGGTATGCATGGGAACTAATACAAATGTTGCATATAGTTTACTTTTAATAGATTTCTGAGGAAAAGGTGACCCCTCGCTCACCCTCCTCCTCCTCTCTAATTTCTTGACTCACATTTCACCAGCCGTAGAAGGTACTCTCGAAGAAGTGCCCTTGCTTTCCGAATGTCCATCTGTGCTTAGTCAATCAGAGTTTTCCTCAGACAATTATTCCTCCATTTCAAACACAGTTCCAAAAAGCTACACAATCATGAAAACCCTCCTTGCAGTTGAGCATATTTTCCCTGACTAATTTTCACTTTTCTGTTTGTTCACAATATCTGGTCAGAAGCACAAACATGTTTGTTTCACGGTAAACTCGGCTATCTATTCATGAATGCATGATGGGCTTAGCGAAGGTTGCATGCAAACCACATACAAATAGGTGTATCCTACCGCTGTTACACATTCTACTTTTGGGGAATGCTACAGCAGTGAACACACACGGCAACCGACGATGAGATAATGCAATGTAACTACTAGACTGCTATGCCAGGAATTCTCAGTCAATCTAAAAACAACGAAACATACAAGCTAGACACATAATGTCTCTCCTATGTCAAGAACAGCTCGACTTTCCTTCTCTTACCCCCTTACTCTCTCTCGTTAGATGAGTGGAAGAGCAAATGTGCAGCCTTGATTGAAATCTAAAAAGCGTGAGCTCATGCCAGCATTCCCGAGTACTAGCGTCAGTCAACCAGCCGAATGTACAGGGTCTCGTTGGAGAGGAAGAACGGCTCAGCTGTCACTCTGCTGACTCGCGGGCACGACACGTATGACATGACAGCCACACGATCCCCTTCTCTGTCGCCCCCCGTCCCGTGTGTTTTACCTGAGGGGGGGGGGGGGGTTGTTACGCAGCATGCATGTGTATGAGACATGAACGAATTTGATCTTTATCATACATGTACATCATAGGGGGAAGTCTATAATTAGCTTGTTTCATTGAAAACAACAATATCGTCACATCATAAATCTTGTTAGCAAACTGTTTGTATGCCAACTAAATCATCTCCTCCCTCCCTCCCTCCCTCCCCCTTACTACGGTTACAATTTTGTTCTTCCGGTTAATAATATCACTTTTAAAGATTATGATTATGATGATGCACAGTGAACAAGGTAAAGGCCTAATTTAAAGAAGCCAAAATACTAGTTTGAAAATGACAGTATTAAATTAATTAGTCAAAATTTTACTAAGATAGCCAAGTTGCTCTAGAATAAGCTGCCGGTAATTGTTAAGCATTAGTGTGACATGTCCATGTTTCCTTTGCACAAATGGCAATTTCTCTCCTTCTAGATTCTTTTACGCAAAACAATGCAACTTTTACAATTTTGAGAACATCCCTATATGGACATTTTTTCATAAATTTTGCTTGTTGTCAAAAATAATTTTTCATAATGATCTGGCCTTACTAGCTCCCTGCATCTGAGTGTATGATATCAATGCTCTGTGTAATTCTGCATCTGTGCACTATCTACTTTATCTATCTCTACACATCATAATCAGTGCATTGTTCTGACCCTTCTCTCTGTTACATTATGAAAGTCTTAAAATGGTCATGGCCGGCAGTCATTATGATTCGGGCGAAGGAAACACGAGAAGGAAATACTTAATTTAGGACCTTGTGGTCATGATCATGAGGCTAGGTTCAAGGAAATAAAAGCACAAATGTTGCCAAGGTTGGGTAGTAGATGACTGCAAACATTAAAGGGCATGCTGCAACCTGGAATCAAGATCTTATGGCAAACATTAAATTGAAGGCATGGGACTAGAGTAAAAAATCCCCCGACCCTTTGCATGGCTGTGTGCATATTTTGAGGGCAGGGATAGGCAATGAACTGTATTCTT